CTCCTGAGCAGCTAGGATTACAGGAGTACACCATGACAAACAGCTAATTTTTGTATTTTTAGTAGAGATGGGGTTTTGCCATGTTGGCCAGGCTGGTCTCGAACCTCTGGCCTCAAGTGATCCTCACACCTCAGCCTCCCAAATTGCTGCGATTACAGGTGTGTGCCACCCCACCCGGAGTGTTTTTTGTTTGTTTGTTTGTTTTTTAGATAGGGTCTTGCTCTGTTGCCCAGGCTGGAGTGGTGTGGGTCACTGCAGCCTCCGCCCCCTGGGTTCAAGGGATTCTCCTGCCTCAGCCTCCTGAGAAGCTGGGGTTACAGGTGCATGCCACCATACCCAGCTAATTTTTGTATTTTTAGTAGAGACAGGGTTTCACCATATTGGCGGCTGGCCAGGCTTTTTTTTTTTTTTTTTTTTGAGACAGAGTCTCGCTCTGTTGCCCAGGCTGGAGTGTAGTGGCGTGATCTGAACTCACTGCAACCTCCGCCTCCCGGGTTCAAGCAATTCTCCTGCCTCATCCTCCCTGGGTAGCTGGGATTTACAGGCACGTGCCACCACGCCCAGCTAATTTTTGTATATATATATATGTATTTTTGAAATGGTATCTCGCTCTGTTGCCAGGCTGGGGTGCGGTGGCGCAATCTCAGCTCACTGCAACCTCCACCTCCCAGGTTCAAGCGATTATCCTGCCTCAGCCTCCAGAGTAGCTGGGATTACAGGTGCATGCCACTATGCCTGGCTAGTTTTTGTGTTTTTAGTAGAGATGTGGTTTCACCATGTTGGCCAGACTGGTCTCGAACTCCTGACCTAAGGTGATTGCTGCCTCATCCTCCCAAAGTGCTGGGATTACAGGTGTGAGCCACTGCGCCTGGCAGGAGGGTCTTGAATGTCAGACAGAACTTGTATTTGATTAGGGACTAGAGCACCACTTGAAGTTTGGCAGGAAATAATTAGCTTGCCAGGCTGGGCACAGTGGCTCATGCCTATAATCCCAGCACTTTGGGAGGCTGAGGCAGGAGGACTGCTTGAGCTCAGGAGTTCAAGATCAGCCTGGTTGAACGAAGTGGGACCCCCGTCTGTACAAGAAATGAAAAAATTAGCTCGGAGTGGTGGTGTGTGCCTGAAGTCCCAGCTATTTGGGAAGGTGAGGTGGGAGGATCACCTGAGCCTGGGAGGTTGGGGCTGTAGTGGGTGTGTTCATGCCACACTGCATTCCCACCTGGGCAACAGAGGGAGACCCTGTCTCAAAGAGAAAAAAAAAAAAAGCTCCTTTAAAGGAAGTGGCTTCTAGGTGGAAAGTGAAGTTGGTCCTGAGAGCCTACTGAGGGCAAGGACTGTATCCTCTTCAATTCTGGTTTCTGATGGCCTAGCATAGACCTGGCACATGATTGTTCCTAAATATTTGCTAAATGAAGGTTGAGAAATGCTTATTTGAAGTCACTTGGAATTCTATTCTTCACCCTGAACTCAGGGTGGACAGAGAGCTGCTGTATTTACCCGGCATTGAGATCGTGAGACCTAGACTGGGAGAGGAGCAACAATAGGAAAGAAGAGGAATGGACGGTTGAGACAGCTTAAAGCAATTAACTGGCACGGCAACACATCAAGTACCCAACTGAACTGCAGACAGTGGTATACACATGCATGCTTAGGGATGCAACTATGACAAGGTATGTGCTCAGTAATTAAGCCAGCACAGACAGGTCATTTTACAGAGAAGCTTTGTGGTTTCCAGAACCATCCTGGCCAGAGGACTGACCTTCCTGCAAATAACTGTCACTTCTGAGTAGGATGTTAAGCTATGCCACATCTACAGGGTGTTTTTCCAGTAGAGATGGGGGAGTCCTGGAGCTAGCTAAGGACAACTATCCTGGCTAATTGCTTCCCCAAACTTCTATTTTAAGAACACAGGTTTGGAGTCCAATTTAGAGAGAGTGTCTTTTAGTAAGGAGTAAGGAACAAACAGCAGACTGAACAATCTGTGTCTTTCAGAGCTGAAATTACAATGGGAGCTCAAACTCTTCCAGGGTGATAGAACCAGAAGATGAATCCTTAAATCCTAGTAAATCCCCAAACTACACCGAACCCAAAATAAAATTATACTCTGGTTATGAGATTCTCACACTGTGACTGTTTCACTCTACTCCCCACAAAAGCACCGAGGGATCAATATCTGCCCCCTCATATCCATTGGGTGGGGTGGGTGAGGTTAATAGGGCCAAAGGGAAGTCAAAAGGCTTCAAGGCTGTAGCACTTGCTCCGAATCTGGGGCACTGGAGTTCTATAGCTGGAAGTCTACACCTCCGTCACAGTTATACAGGACGCTTACGGCTAGTCTGAAAGCTTTTTTTTTTTTTTTTTTTTTTTTTGTTCCAATCATGACCTCTAAATGTTCATTCCTAGTTTTTTTTTTTTATCGTTTTTTTTTTTTTTTTTTTTTTTTTTTGAGACAGGGTCTTGTTGCCCAGGCTGGACTGCAGTGGTATAATCATAGCACACTGCAGCCTCGACCTCCTGTGCTCAAGTGATCCTTTGCCTCAGTCTCCTGAGTAGCTGGCATTACAGGCATGCACTATCATGCTCAGCTAATTTTAAAAGTTTTAGTAGAGACAAGATCTTGCTATGTTGCTCAGGCTGGTCTCAAACTCCTGAGCTCATGCAGTCCTCCTGCCTTGGCCTCTCAAAGTGCTGGGATTACAGGTGTGAGCCACCTCGTTTGGCGTGAAAGCTAATTAAAAAAAGAAAAAAAAAAATATATATATATATAGAAACAAGGTCTGGCTCTATCACCCAGGCTGGAGTGCAGTAGTGTGATCTCAGCTCACTGCAGCCTCTGCCTCCAAGGCTCAAGCGATCCTCTCACCTCAGCCTCCTGAGTAGCCAGAACTACAGGTGCACATCACCACACCCGGGTAGTTTTTTGTATTTTTGTAGAGACAGGGGTTTCACCATGTTGCCCAGGCTGGCCTCAAACTTGTGAGCTCAAGCAATCTGCCCACCTCAGCCTCCCAAAGTGCTAGGACTGCAGGCATGAGCCACTGTGCCAGGTGAAAGCTGATTTTTGATTTTTGATAGGCCAAGGTAATCTATAAAATCTCCCAACCATAATGTTATAAATAGATCATATGTATAATGAGATACTAATTTCTTTAAAGTTGAGGTGGGCCTGGACAGCCACTTCTGGCTACAAGCAGCTTTAACAGCTTACCCCAGTGTGCATGTTTATCCTTGTGTCATATGACTATCTCTTTTTGTGTTACAAGATGAAAAGGTTAGGAAGCACTCATCTACAGCAGTCCCTTACTTTTTATTTTTTTGAGACCGAGTCTCACACTGTTCCCCAGGCTAGAGAGCAGTGGTGTGATCTTGGCTCACTGCAACCTCTGCCTCCGGGGCTCAACCGATTCTGCCTCAGTCTCCCGAGTAGCTGGGATTACAGACATGCGCCACCATGCCCGGCTAATTTTTGTATTTTTAGTATACAAAAATTCATTCACTATGTTGGCTAGGTTGGTCTTGAACTCCTGACTTCAAGTGATCTACCTGTCTCAGCCTCCCAAAGTGCTAGGATTACAGGCGTGAGCCACCGCACCCGGCCTAGCGGTCCCTTATTTTAAACATATTTTTATTCCTAATAATTTTTGTATACAAAATAAAAGTTTAAGACCCTAATACAGCTGTGGTTCTTAACTTTTTTGGGGTCATTATCCCTTTGAGTATTTGATAACGCCAAAGAGCCTATCTCCAGAATAATACACTACTACTTTTCATGCAATATTTCACACACAACTTGAGGGTTACAGAATCCAGATTAAGTATCTGTTCTGGAAGGATTATCACACAAACCCATTTACTTATTTCAGAGGGGTTCATCTGCCTCCTCTCTGCCCTTTCTCTAATAAAACTTAAAAAAAAAACAATATTGTCAGGCCGGGCGTGGTGGCTCACGCCTGTAATCCCAGCACTTTGGGAGGCCGAGGCAGGCACATCATCTGAGTTCGTGACGGACTTTGAGAACAGCCTGGCCAACACAGTGAAACCCTGTCTCTACATTAGCCAGGTGTGGTGGCAGGCGCCTGTAATCCCAGCTATTTGGGAGGCTGGGGCAGGAAAATCGCTTGAACCTGGGCAGGGGAGGTTGCTGTGCGCCAAGATTGCACCACTACACTCCAGCCTGGGTGACAGAACAAGACTCCACCTAAAACAAAAACAAAAACAAAAAAACCCAGAAACCTCTGAAATACACAGTACATTAAACTCCCTCAAAGTTTTCTGGGCAGTAGGGACCAGGCGTGGTGGCTCATGCCTGTAATCCCAGCACTTTGGGAGGCCAAGGTGGGTGGATCACGAGGTCAGATGTCAGGAGATCAAGACCATCCCGGCTAACACAGTGAAACTCCATCTCTACTAAAAATACAAAAAATTAGCCAGACATGGTGGCGGGTGCCTGTAGTCCCAGCTACTCGGTAGGCTGAGGCAGGAGAATGGCGTGAACCTGGAAGGCAGAGCTTGCAGTGAGCCAAGATTGTGCCACTGCACTTATAAGGAAAATTTGATTATCAAACTTTTCAAAAGCAAAACTCTGTCTCAAAAAAAAAAAAAAAAAAAAAAAATTTCCTGGGCAGCATGCAGAAGCCACTATCAACTCTAGGTGGTATTCCCACAAACCCCCAGCTGCTTGGGGGTGGAGGTTGGGGTAGGGGGATATGCTCCTCACTGGCTGTAAGCACCATTTACCCTTGTAGTATCAACCACTGGTTGTTGGGAACCACTTGCAGATAGAAAGCAGTTCTCTGCACACCTCCCATTAGGCTTGGATGCATTTTGGTTAGTGTTTATACTAAAACCCCCAATGTAATCCTTCATACTGCAGTCTCTCTTCTCCACTGCAAGCACATGACCTTGTTCATGTGTATTAGTCACTCCACAGTTGTCACTAATCAAGGCAAGGTTGTACATTTCCCATGGGCAAATGGGAGAAAAAGGAACATTGAAATCAGTTAATTTCAGCAGCATCTTTATTGCAACAAATAACCTGTAATAAAATGCAACAAAACTAATGTTTCACTTTACATGATTAAAAGCCATATACCTAAAAATGAGAAAACCCATAAGCTTACTGGAGTGAGACATGCAATTCTTTTTATACAAGTCAATGCTTAAAACAGCAGGCACTTTATGTTCTAAAATTAACCACCTGAACTCCAATTTTGCTGAATACAACATAAATTTGTTTTGGGGTTACTTAAAAACAAACATACAAACACTACTTTTTCTTTACCTGTAAAGGACTTATGAAATGATTACCTAGAGCCCAGCACCTTGCACTAACATCTCCATATTTGAGGCTGGAAGATGGATAGGTGGAAGATGAGGCTGGGAAGGTGGGAGTCAAAAAAGTTTCCTTTCTCCTTTATATCTGCTGGGAATAGACACTCACCTTATATAGTTTAGAAATGGCCATGTCTCTTTTCTTACATCAAATAGCTATAAGATGGGCTCCCAGGCTTAAGCAAGCACTCTACTCTATATTCCAATCCTCAAATCCCCCACTATACCAAGGAAGACACATTTAGTGCAATGAATTTAATTAACATCAGAATGTCATATACTAATTAGAAGTACTGCTTCATTAATAAGCATGCTTAGCATTTACTTTGGAATGGAAAAATTAACCATTTTTATGTGGTTACCTTTAAAATGTTTTATACGAATATATTAATAAATATTTCTTTAAAAATTTACCTTTTCTATATATCATTTAACTACCATGAGGCAGGACACCTGGCTGGAGTCCAGCACCAACTGGCTACTAACTGGCTGTGTGGTCACGGGTATATTTCCTCCTCTCTCTCTAGCATGTAGGTTGTTCTTCTAACAAATGAGAATATTAGATTAGATTAAATCAAAGATTGATTCCATCTTGGAAAATGCATGATTTAATAATGAGAAATCTTATAGGAATCATTCCACCTGAAGAGAACTATGCTATAGAAAGGTGGGCTATACTATCTGGAAGGAATAAAACAAGTAGTAAAAAAAAAAAAAAAAAAGAAAAAATTAAGCATCGGTATCAACATTGCATTTTTTAAAAAGGTAATGCATGCGTTGTGACCTAATCCTCTTGTATGAGGCTTTGGAAAAGAACCAGGAATGGCATAAAGAGAAAAACTTTTATTCCAAAATTAATCTCCAGACAAACAGGATAGAAACAAAGTAAACACCTCCTGCCGCTTTCAGAGTGAGAAGGGCCAAACAAGTTACCACAGATGAGCAGCTTCATGGACTACTGTTTAGGTTCTTGTGAATCAGTCCAGTGTAAAAAATCACCTATTATTAATCCAACTCCATTCTCTATAGAAGACTTTCTTAAAGTAGTCCATAGATGACTTACTGTAGGATCGCGTGGAAAGTTTGTCAGAAATGCACATTCCTGGTGTCTACCTAAATCAATGGAATACAAATTTTTATTTATTTATTTTGAGGCAGAGTCTCACTCTGTCGCCCAGAGTGGACTACAGTGGCGCCATCTTGGCTCACTGCAACTTCCGCCTCCTAGGTTCAAGCGATTCTCCTGCCTCAGCCTCCCGAGTAGGTTCAGGATTATAGGCACACGCCATCATGCCCGGCTAATTTTTTTGTATTTTTAGTAGAGACGGGGTTTCACCATGTTGACCAAGCTGGTCTTGATGTCCTGACTTCAAGTGATTCACCCGCCTTGGTCTCCCAAAGTGCTAGGATTACAGGTGTGAGCCACCATGCCTAGCCTGGGAATACATATTTTTAAGAGTGAGTTTCAAAACTCTACATTTCTTTTAGTAAGTATCCCAGATGAATCTTAGATTTTGAGTTCCACTACTCTAAAATGCTCAAGTATCCCTCTTGATGGCTGTTCAAGTGTACACATTTATCAAGTCTTTAAAAACACAGTATGATATTATGTAACCTAGTGCTTTTTGGCTCCCACTAAACTGTTGCTACTTTTATATATTCTTGCCGTTTAAGCTGTTACCCACACTTATGGGGTACAAACATTTAGTTAGATTTCTACTGATTGCCTCAATTGACTATGATATTTTCCACACTGGTTGTAAAAAGCAAATTCAGTCAAACTGTCTTTCTGTAAGTGAATTCATTCAGGTATTTTTTCCCCGCTAAAGAAGCAGAATGGCATTTAAGTGACTGGGAGTGATAATAGAAACATTCTTTACGATAGGAGGAAAGAAGGCGGCAACATGCAAAAGGAAAACACCGGTGAATTCAAGAGTACATGAAGTTTTCTAAGTTTGTTTCGGTAAAATAAAAGATGCCATTTTGAAGAAACAGTCTTAATGTGTGAAAGGTTTCAATGGAGCAGCTGCTTAAAAGCTACTGTATACCATTTCTATTTTATATTGCATATAAGGATAGATCCTTTGAGGCCAATTAGTCCAAACAAAACAAAACAAAACAAAACACCCTCCACAGTCAGATACATACTTAAAGGGGAAAATACTTTCTTGGGGAAGAAAGTTACCCAAATCAATTTAATTTAACATTGAAAATATATATAAACAAATCTTGGCATGGGAAAATATCAAACATGAAAAGCAATACACATACAGATAATAAGAAAAAGCGTGATATCTATTATACAGTATAAACACAAACAGCAAAACCCAATACCTTTCCCAACGACAGAACCACCATGTCATCCTGCCATTTCTGGGCTTTCCCTACCTCCCACTTGGCGTCAATGAAGTCCACCTCTTACCAGTAGTCACTAACCTTACTAATGAAGGCTGTGCTCTCTATGGGGAAATCTACTCTCTCTGTAGTGATGAGAAAGAAATACAGCAAATTTTCTTGAAGTGTTGTAATAACTTTCTAAACACTGAAGTGTGTGATAAAAAGCATCAAACTCATAGATGCCTTCCCTGCCACCGGTGTCAACGTGACCGATCTAGCACCCCAAGACTCTAACAGGGCAGATCTCAATTAGCACCTGAAAGCCTATGAGCTCTCTTCATAGCTAAATCCTAGTGCTAAACCAAGAAAAGTTCATGATCATTCAAGAAAACTGTTTACAGGCTTTAAACACCAAAAAAAAAGAGCCATGGCTTGCCAGGGATTAGTTTATGGTAAAGAGGTTATCTGTAAACATTTGTATTTTAAGCTTACAATATCTAAATTATGTTCAAATAATTTTAAAAGGATAAAGTTTAAATGTGTAGGATTTCTAAACCTAAGAGAAAAAAAAAAAAAAAAAAGAATTATAAAAGTAACTCTAAGGAACTTTTCCTCCCCTGAATCATGTTACTCTGTAGCTGTGCTGGCAAGACAGTGATTTATTGATTCTGGTTTCCTTAATATTCTAGTTGTTTAAATTTCAGTTTCCAAACATTTTCCTGAGTCTTTTTGTTAAAACTACTTCTGCTTAGTTTTTAATCAGGCCCTCACCACCTCTTCTCTCTGTCATTTCCCAAACCCAGGACTCCCCACCCCACTGTGATTCCCTTCAATCTCCTTAAAATTCTAGAATATTTTAATAAGGAAATTCTAAATGGAAACTGGCACCACTACATTTTCTGAAGAATTCTAGTGAATGTGTACTTTTTCCTTTTCTTAAAGGAAAAAAACAAAAAACAAAAAAAAAACAAAAAAAAAACTTGCCTGCAAATATTTAAGCTCTAATCATTTAAAAATTTTCTGCCTGTAATTATCAGTATCATGACTAATTAAATCCATGCTACATATACAGTTACTAGCCTTTATGCAAAAGGAAAAGCCCACTCCGTTAATATCATCAAAGAAAAATGAGAATTATTTATATTAGATACAGATTAAATTGGCTAAAAACTGGTCAGTGCCAAAACAAGTGTCTTTAGGAGGCCACTAAGTTATCCTTGAAAAATCAATAATGAATGACTGGTTAAGTCAAGTTTAATAGTTATTAGTTCATAACATGCTGGATATGCCCAAGCAATGAAGCATAAGCTATTCAATTACATTTAAGTGCTATCAAATCTGTAACTAGTCAGAGATTCTGGAACTGAACCAAACCAATCACTAATATCATATTTTAACAAACTCAAAAGTATACTGTAAAAATACACTAATTAAGTTCATGAAGTTTATAATACTATTAAAAGTGAAAATAGGGTAGTATGAATACATGGTGTTAATGCTTTTTTTTTTTTTTTGAGTAATTCTCATGGTATTGCTGGGTCTCTCAGGAATATGTATCATTTGATTTTGAGCATGTGGGGTTAAGGTATTAGATTACTACCACAAACTGTAGACCCCTGCATGGCACCACATTTATTTTCAGGAGTAGATGTTACGTGGCAGGTATCAAAGTGTGATGATCAATTCTGTGTTTTCTATTGATTAAACCTCCTCATTTGGTTAAATAGCCAGTGTATACCAGAGAGTTCTATACAGGTCAAAATTATATCACTTTTAGAGCAGCAATACGTGATCCAAGGTTTTCTTGAAGGTAGTGCAAAAGATGCAGTTCATAATGTTCTCCAGATTCAGGAACTCTTATGCTGTGTCTCTCCTGAGGATAGATCTTACCAACAACAAAAAATAAAGATACAAAAAAAAAAAAAAAAAGAATTTAGTGATACATCCTCTTCCAAAGCTTTCCAGAGATGTTAAACAGGATTAATAATATGAATCACAGCCTCTATGCAATATTGTAGAATAAATCGTATCTAAACGCTCCTCTCCTCATCTTATGATTTCCTTATTAAACATTAGGCTTAATGATGGATTTACCTGTAGACCAATGGTTTGTTCTCTAAGTGTGGTCTATAGACTTTCAGAGGTCTCTGAAAGCTTTTCAACGGATACAAACGGTCAAAACTACTTTTAGAACAACACAAAGACATTATTTGCCTTTACTTGTTGTGTCAGCATTTACAGTGATGATGCAAAAGCAAAGGTGAGTAAAACTGCTGGGTAGCATGAATCAAGGCACTATCATTAAACTGCACTAGAAGTCACAATATTCCTCACCACCACACACTTCCAATAAAAAGAAAAATGTCAGTTTCAATTAAGTAGCGGTAAAAATTAGAATTTATTAAGTTACAACCTTTGAGTAGAAGTCTTTAATATTCTGTGTTTATGAAATGGGAATGCATAAAGCACCTGTGCTACAGGATGTCTCAAGGAAAAGTACTAGTGTGAATGAGTCACAAGCTGAACTGCTGCTTTTTAAATGGAACTCCATTTTTAACTTCAAAGAATGACTGACAACTATGGTTATTTAGGGTATCCAGTAAATATTTTCTCAAAAGTGAATGAAGTGAGTTGGCCACTTCACGGACAACACTGACAGTATTTGTTGCCAATGATAAAATCTGGGCTTTTGAGTTAGAATTTTGGAAAACTTGCATCTACTACTATTAACTAATGAGCTTCCCAATACTTAGACACTTTTCTGATAAGATCAGTGGTAATATAACTATATGTGATTTTTAAAATATTGTACAATAAAAGGCGTCAACATTTGAAAGACTGGAATAACACAGTGAGCCAGTATTTTCCAGATGGCTAATGCATGGTCAAAGATCCATTTGAAGTATAAGATCCATACTTTAACGTAACAGAATATGAAGTTTATATATATCACTTTAGATTCCACACTAAAACCTAGCTTTAAGTCAGATGCAGGAGCCCATTCCCTGTAGTCTCAACTACTTGGGAGGCTGAGGTGGGAGGATTGCTTGACCCCAGGAGTTTGAAACCAGCCCAGGAATCATAGTAAGACTTCAATTGAAAAAAATAAAATTAAAAAACAACAAAAAATTCATTGGCTGGGCATGGTAGCTCACCTTGCTTGCAATCCTAGCACTTTGGGAGGCTGAGGTGGGAGGATCACTTGAGTTCAGGAGTTTGAGATCAGCCTGGGCAACTTAGTGACACCCATCTCTTAATATATTTAGGCCAGGCGCAGTGGCTCATGCCTGTAATCCCAGCACTTTGGAAGGCCGAAGCAGGTGGATCACGAGGTCAGAAGATTGAGACCATCCTGGCTAACACAGTGAAACCCCGTCTCTACTAAAAATACAAAACATTAGCCAGGCCTGGTGGTGGGTGCCTGCAGTCCCAGCTACTCGGGAGGCTGAGGCAGGAGAATGGTGGGAACCTGGGAGGCGGAGCTTGCAGTGAGCCAAGATCATGCCACTGCCCTCCATCCTGGGAGACAGAGCAAGACTCTGATCTCAAAAAAAAAAAAAAAATATATATATATATATATATATATAACCTGGGTGCAGTGGCTCACACCTGTAATCCCAACACTTTTGGAGGCTAAGGCCTCAAATCACCTGAGGTCAGCAGTTCAAGACCAGCCTAGTCAACATGGTGAAACCTCATCTCTACTAAAAGTACAAAAAAATTAGCTGGGCATAGTGGTACGAGCCTGTAGTCCCAGGTACTCAGGAGGGTGAGGCACGAGAACTGATAGAACCTGGGAAGCAGAGGCTGCAGTTAGCCAAGATCACATTACTGCATTCCAGCCTGGGTGACAGAGCAAGTCTCCATTTCAAAAAAAAAAAAAAAAAGTGTGTGTGTGTGTATATATATATTTATTTATATATATATATATAAAATTTAAAAATATATATAATAAAAAGTATATATGATAAATATATTTAAAACAACAAAAACAAACAAAATCCCACAACCTTTAAGAAACTACCACTTGTCCAGTTTTGGTACAGTATCAAAGAATGGTATCTACAATTAACTGAAAAAGCTAAAATATTACTCCCATTTCTTTTTTTTTTTTTTTTTGATGGAGTCCACTCTGTCACCCAAGCTGGAGTGCAGTGGCACGATCTCGGCTCACTGCAACCTCTGCCTCCCGGGTTCATGCAGTTCTTGTGCCTCAGACTCCTGAGTAGTTGGGATTACAGGCATGCACCACCACACCCGGCTAATTTTTGTATTTTTATTTTTATTTTTTTTGGAGACGGAGTCTCACTCTGCCACCCAGGCTGGAGTGCAGTGGCGCAATCTTGGCTCACTGCAAGCTCTGCCTCCCGAGTAGCTGGGACTACAGGCGCCCGCCACAACGCCCGGCTAATTTTTTGTATTTTTAGTAGAGACGGGGTTTCACCGTGTTAGCCAGAATGGTCTCAATCTCCTGACCTCGTGATCCGCCTGCCTTGGCCTCCCAAAGTGTTGGGATTACAGGCGTGAGCCACTGCGCCTGGCCCCATTTCATAACTACATACTCTGTGAGGCCAAATTTTTCTTCACATACTTTAGCCAAAACAACATATCACAACAGATTGAGTACAGAAAGAGACATAAGAATGTAAGTGTCTTCTTTATTATTATGTCAGACATTAAAGGAACTTAGAAAAATGTAAAATATTGCTGTTTTTCTCAGTAAATTATTTGTTTTGGAATATAGTTTTTCTCTATGAAAAATGTGATTTGTGTTAACATGTAATAGTTTATTATTATCATTTTTGAGACGGAGTTTCACTCTTGTTGCCCAGGCTGCAGTGCAATGGCGCAATCTCAGCTGATCGCAACCTCCGCCTCCCCAGTTTAAGCAATTCTCCTGCCTCAGCCTCCCAAGTATCTGGGATTACAGGCGTGCGCCACCATGCCCGACTAGTTTTTGTATTTTTAGTAGAGACAGGGTTTCTCCATTTTGGTCAGGCTTGTCTCGAACTCCTGACCTCAAGTGATCTGCGCCCACCTTGGCCTCCCAAAGTGCTGGGATTACAGGTGTGAGCCACTGCACCGGGCTGATAATTTATTATTTTAAAATATTTAAAATTTTTCTCAGTTTTAATATCTTATATGAGAAATATTCATTGATATAATCGACATAAACCAAGTTCTTTGGTAGGTAAAGGTGTCCTGAAACCAAAAAGCTTAAAAATTGCTGCTATAAATATCTCATAGTTTAAACATAAATATCAACTGAAATGTTAAAAAGGAAAAAGTAATTTTTTCAATTTTTGTGTGCACATAATCTGTTTAAGGAGTAAAACATAGTTTTAAGAAAAACTGGAATAAGGATCTATAAATGGAGCAATGGAGGAGGGTAACTTGCTGGTTTCTGCTCCAATGTCAATGTAAAATAAAAGAAAATTAAAAGACCATATAATCAGGCCCTAAAAATCCTTTTACAACCATGAAATCAAAATAGCATATCTTCACCCTTCAAAGCGGAAAAAGAAAAGCAAAGGAGAACAGTGAATGACTTCCTGTCATCTTTTCCATGCTTCCAAACTGAAAGCAGATACAGACACACAGTCATGTAATCTGATAGGCAGATATGTCAGCCTGACTGCAACAGAATCTTAATTTTTATCCAACTACAGGCACTACTAAATATGCCTCTTACTTTAGTTCTCTTAAGCAGAGGGTGGACACTCTAAAAATCCGGACTTACCCTACAGTTAATAGATTTCAAAGTAATCAATCACTAATCATGACTGCAGTTAACCAGAAAATGTAGAATAACTCACCTGTAAATCATATGGCTTTCCAGCCCTCACTAAAAAACTCAGTAATATACTGGTATGTGCAAAATGGACATTCTCATCCAGGAACCCATGTAAGAGCAGTAAACGATTTGGTCTGGAGAAATGGAAATATTACAGGATTAGGCAAAATAGTACAGTATTTGGGAAAACAATTTCACTTATTTAATCATACTTAACCATATTAACTTCCTGATACTGCAATGTTAGAATAAGAATTCAGTATTTTCAATATTAAATTTGTAACATATTAACCAGATACCACATGTAATGAAAGATTAAAAAAAGATCTTGTGTTCAATTATTTATAATTAAAATATTAAAACACATCTATAATTATAGCATGTCCCCAGAAAAATTATGTGTAAAATATATTCAGGCAGACATAAAATTTTTTCCACCTTGGAAGTCATGTACTTAACTTTTTTCAGCAAAAACAACTGCTTCAAATATAACTTGTAAAAAAACATTATATGAACTGGCCTGTAATTCAGTTTTAAGAAACAGCCATGATATTCTAGTATAACATATTCATCTTGGTTTTTCAGTATTTGAATTTTCCATTAGGATTAAAGACAATTTTTTAAAATACAATTGAAAATTTATAATCTTCATTTTTAAGCTTGAATTAGGCTGTGCCCGGTGGCTCACGCCTGTAAACCCAGCACTTTGGGAGTCTGAGATGGGCAGATAACTTGAGTCCAGGAGTTTGAGACCACCTTAGGCAACATGGTAAAATCCTGCCTGACTCTACTAAAAATACAAAAAATTAGGTTGGCATGGTGGCACGTGCCTGTAGAGTCAGCTACTCGGGGGCTAAGGTGGGAGGATCCTCTGAGCCCAGGAGTTTGACGATGCAGGGAGCCCTGATCATGCCACTGCACTCCAGCCTAAGTGACAGAGTGAGACTCTGTCTCAATTAAAAAAAAAAAAAAAAAAAAAGCTTGCACTTACTCAGAGGGGAACTTTTCTGCTTGCATGGCCACAGATCCTAAGTAATAGCCCTGTTCATTCTGGTCAGGGTGACCCATATAACGTTCCGTGTATCCTGTATCATAGAAGATCCACAGAGTGACTGGGGCCCCAGCAATAGCAACCTGCATAAGATGACATTGACAGTCAAGTGTGGTCTGGAAAAAGAGAGTGGCTAGCAGTGAGATCTTACAACTGCAAAATTACACTGTAAAATTATCCTTAAGCTTTAGCCTTACGACTGGGGCATACATGTCTTAGGCAACTCAGAATACTGAAGTGAAGTGCCAAGGTCAAGAATTTGATACTCTGTGAGTCAGTTTCATGTTCCATAGGCATTCTACATACCAAACCTTTAACCTGGGCTAGCTGAAATACAAAAGCCGGGCCCATTGTTAAAAGACAACTGAACTACATCCTGCTACTGAGGAAAAAATGTGCGAGAACTGTCAGTTTTATGTAAAAAAGGAGCCACCTTTTTTTTTTAAGCCTCTGTTGGCAGTACAGAATTTAAAACAATAAATGAAATATACTAAAAATTTGCCTCATTTTAAGGCTCTTATACATAGTTTTATATTTAAATACTCTATTTTCTTGACAGCTACAAGCCTGGGAAAATTATGGGAGTAGTCAGAATTTATTTATGGTTATTATAAAGATCATCTAGACATATATGCAAGAATAAAACCCTTATTTTGTTCTTAAAAATAAAAATTAAGGGTCACGTGCAATGGCTCACGCCTGTAATCCTAGCACTTTGGGAGGCTGAGGCGGGTGGATCACCCAAGGTCAGGAGTCCGAGACCAGACTGGCAAACATGGTGAAATCCTATCTCTACTAAAAATACAAAAATTAGCTGGGAATAGTGGTGGGCGCCTTTAATTCCAGACTGAAGCATGAGAATTGCTTGAACCTGAGAGGTGGAGGTTGCAGTGAGCCAAGATCGCACCACTGCACTCCAGCCTGGGTGACAGCAAGACTCTGTCTCAAAAATAAAATAAAAAATAAAAATTTTAAAAATTACTTTTTACTGTAAAGTAACATCATGTTATTGAAATATTAAAAAAAGAAACATACTCATAATTCCTATTCTCAACAATTATCATCCTTATGTATTTTCTTCTAGTATATTTTTCCAAGAGTTTGTTTACAGAATTGTAAGCATTTATACATTTAATAATTCACTCATTCAACGCACTTATTGAGGGCCTACTATGTGCCAAGTATTAGGCTTGACTGCTGAGGATACAGTGGTGTACAGCACAAACAGGTCCCTGCCCTCATAGCTTGCAGTCCAACAATTAAGTAATTACAATCCAATAGGTATGTTGTATGTGCCTTACTAATCGTAACCATCTCCTATACTCTTTGGCACGTATCTATAAACAGTCAGTAACTAGTTATCCAGTTGATGTTTAAACATTATATATGTTTAAAAGAAAAATATACACACACACACATATATACATATAAAACTTGAAGGCTGGGAGCAGTGGTTCACGCCTGTAATCCCAGCACTTTGGGAGGCCAAGGCGGACGGATCACTTAAGGTCAGGAGTTCAAGACCAGCCTAGCAAACATGGTGAAACTCCATCTCTACTAAAAGTACAAAAATTAGCTGGAAATCATTTGAACCCGGGAGGTGGAGGCTGCAGTGAGCCAAGATCATGTCACTGTGCTCCAGTCTGGGTGAAGAGCGAGACTCTGTCTCAAAACAAAACAAAACAAACAAAAAAACAAACGAGATATATATACATTTCACATGGCTCTTAAACATACAAACCCTAACATTCTATAATATTGCCAACTGTGGGCCAGGCGCAGTGGCTCATGCCTGTAATCCTAGCACTTTGGGAGACCAACACGGGTGGATCTCTTGAGGTCAGGAGTTTGAGACCAGTCTAGCCAATATGGTGAAATCCCATCTCTACTTTAAAAAAAAAAAAAAAATTAGCCAGGTGTGGTGGCTGGCACTTGTAATCCCAGCTATTCAGGAGGCTGAGACATGAGAATCGCCTGAACCCAGGGGGCAGAGGTTGCAGTGAGCCAAGATTGTGCCACTGCACTCCAGCCTGGGCGACAGAGCAAGACTTTGTCTCAAAAAAACAAAAACAAAAACCCCCAAAAAATTGCCAACTCTGTAAACCTTCAGGAAATAGACATTTTTATATATCCTCTATTTACAGAAAAATCTACCCTTATTGCAAAAATGAGTATAATAGGAAGTCACATACCCTGAAGATATCTGACCTCTGCATTAATGCCATCAGGGAGAGGTATCCTCCATAGGACCAGCCGTGGATGCCCACACGATCTAAGTCAATGAAATCATATCGAGAAGCTAGATATTGGAGTCCTTCCACCTGATCATCAATTTCTATTTGACCCTGTCAAAAAAGGGAGAACATTTCACTGATTCTGATGAATAAAAGTCTCATAAGAGTGCTTTTAAAGATGATAAATGTTTTTACTAAAAATACCTGTAGGTCTTTTAATTTTTATTTCATTTATTTTTTGAGATGGAGTCTCACTCTGTTACCCAGGCTGGAGAGCAATGGCATAATCTTGGCTCACTGCAACCTTCGCCTCCTGTATTTAAGCGATTCTCCTGCCTCAGCCTCCCGAGTAGCTGGAATTACAGGCATGCGCCACCATGCCCAGCTAATTTTTGTATTTTTTAGTAGAGACGGAGTTTCACTATGGCCAGGTTGGTCTCGAACTCCTGACCTCTCAAGTGATTCGCCCGCCTCGGCCTCCCAAATTGCTGGGATTACAGGTGTGAGCCACCACACCCGGCCCTGTAGGTTTTTTTAGATTAGAATTTACTACCAATTGAGATTCTGTTGCCCCCTCTCCCTCAAATTTTTAAAAAATCTATTTGGAGATAGGGGCCTATAGCTTCTGTTGCTAGCCTGTCCTAGAGTTTAGTTACCACTTAGTCATAAAGCTCTTCCTATTGCTACTCAAACTGTCCCTTGCTATTTGGGTATTTCCCATTTCCATTTGTTCTGTTGTCTGCTAAGAGGTCAGCATCTTCCTTGTAACAAGCCTTCCTATACCCAAAGACAAAAAATTAGCCCCTTAAGTAATTAATTTTACTTCTCCTTTTTATTTATTTTTTTGGAGACATGGTTTCACTCTGCTGTCCAGGCTGGAGTGCAGTAGTGTGACCATGGATCTGTAGCTCAATCTCCCAGGCTCAAGTGATCCTCCCACCTCAGCCTCCCAAGTAGCTGGGACTCCAGGCGTGCGCCACCATGCCCAGCTAATTTTTTAACTTATTTGTAGAGGTGGGGGGTCTCATTATGTTGCGCAGGTTGGTCTTGAACTCCTGGGCTCAAGTGATCCTCCTGCCTTGGCCTCCCAAAGTGTTGGGATTACAGGCGTGAGCCAATGCACCTGGCCTACTTCTCCTTTTTAATTTTTAGTGCAGTAAAGCAGAAGGAATTGCTCTTGAGGCCCTATCTTCTTATTTCCCTATTATATTACCTCTAGGAACTGAACATACTACTTCTTTAAGGTCCTAGTTCCTACCACCACCACCTTGTCTATATTACTAGGCCTGCCAGTGCACGCAATCTCACTTCACTGAGCCAAAAACAAAAATAAAAACAAAAAAACTTACATGAGAATACAACATAAGGTCAAAGAACTGGCTGTGGGAGAAAATCCCCATGTCTTACTCAGCATGTCCAATAACACTGGCAAACACAGTAACTGCCTTACTGTGCAAAAGGAACATCGGATTCTCATCATTTCCCAAAGCAGCAGAAAGGACATGGGGCATCTCTAAAAGGTAGCATTTAAAGCTTCCTGTAGAGAGAAAGAGGCTTGTCACAAGGAAGGCACTACCAGTTGGATTCCCTCTTCACAGAGGACAGAACAAATCTCAATAATTCCTCAACAGTGTCCAGGATGCTGAAAGCTAAATGGTGCTAAATTCTACCCAAGTGGACATACAAAATAGAGAGGGTATTTCTATGTACAAGTGGCTCTATCTCAGTTCTCCAAAGTTACATATAGGTAGACATGAGCTAGCCTAGTGTACATCAAGTTGCATCTTCTCTCCCACCCCTAAACTCTAACACATATACACGCTCATTCACTCATTCATAGCCCCTTCCCCCAACTCTCTTTCAAGGGTTTCACACCAAACAATGCACCAGAAAAATGTAAATGTCTGTAAAAGAAAAGTGTTTTTATGCTCACACACCATTTTATATTTAAAGGCGCCTTCAAATTTAAGCCCTCGGTGACAGGATCCTCTGTTGTCTATCACCACAACCACATAACCTAGAGAGGCTAGGGTATTCAAGCGGAAATACTTGACTCCTTTAAACCGATTATTCACCAACTGCACCTGAGGAAGAAACACAACTTCAGTTTATCATATGGAAGCATATAAAAACCCAAGAGTGGCAGGGCATTGCAAGAAATAGAAAGCTTAATTTCACTATTATTTTACCTTTAAAATGCAATTTTTAAAGTCATTTATTTTTATATTAACTTAAGTCTTTTCATGTTTATGTTGCTTCCTGCTTAACTTCACACTCAAGTTCAGGGCAATTACTGAACAACCGTAGGCTTTAAAATTCTAACTTAGATATTAATTACATATAAGTGAATCAATCCACCCCATATAAAAAGTTACTAAACTGATTATTTCTACCCTGAAGAACTGTGTCATTCGAATGACAGTTACAAGGACAAATAAGAAAAACTTTCCTCTCCATCAGACATCAGACATGACTGCTGCTTGGCTTCTTCCACTGGCTACCATTACCCTTCAGAGTAAGTCTACACGTCCCTTGAGATCTTTGGCTACCTCTGATCTCATCTCATACCATTTCCCTCCACGTGCACTGTACTCTAACCTCATTGTCAACACTATCAAGTTGGTTCTAGTCCCAGGAACTTGACATTTACCGTTTTCTGTGTCTGGAATGCTTTTCTCTCATATCTTTTGCATGGCTCATTCCTTGTCAATGTTTTAACCTCAGGAGAGGTCTTGCCATCCCCTTTCCCAGCAAATCTTCATAGAACTTCCATTATAAAAAGTCATACTTTTAGGCCAGGTGTGGTGGCTCACACCCGTAATCCCAGCACTTTGGGAGGCTGAGGCAGGTGGATCACCTGAGGTCAGCAGTTCGAGACCAGCCTGGCCAACATGGCAAAACCCTATCTCTACTAAAAACAAAAAATTAGCTGGGCATGGTGGGGAGTGCCTGTGGTCCCAGTTAATCAGGAGGCAGAGGCATGAGAATTGCTTGAACCCAGAAGGCAGAGAGGTTGCAGTGAGCCAAGATCATACCACTGCACTGTAGCCTGGGCAGCAGAGAGAGACTCTGTCTCAAAAAACAAACAAACAAAAATCATACCTTGTTTTTTTTGAAGAGATGGGGTCTCCAGGCTGGAGTGCAGTGGCACAATCATAGCTCAGTGCTGCCTCAAATTCCTGGGCTCAAGTAATCTTCCTGCCTCGGCCTTCAAGTAGCTGGGACTACAGGTGTGCACCACCATGCCTGGTTAATTTTTAATTTTTTTTGTAGACATAGGGTCTCACCATCATATCTTTTTATGTTTGCTTATTATTTTCCCTTTATGGTCCATGAAGTGGAACATTAGTCTGACATGTTCACTGGGTATCCTCACTGCCTAGAACAGTACCTAGCACATCACAGGAACTTAATACCTGTTTGCTAAATGAATGAATGAAAAAGAGAAATAGGAGAATGTTTTTTTTTCCATTTCTACTTTGGGAAGAGGGTGTTTGGTGGGTAAAGGTACTTGTATTTATTTATTTACTTAAGAGATGGTGTCTCACTCTGTATCCCAGGCTGGAGTGTGGTAGTGCAATCATAGTTCACTACATAGTTCACCTCGAACTCCTGGGCTAAAGCAATCCTTCCACCTCAGCCTCTGAATAGCTGGGATTAATATGTGTGCCACAGCACCTGGCTAAAGATTTGTCTTTAAAGGGAGAGTGCTGAAAGAAGAAATACTAGGCAGAGAAGAACACAAATATGAACATTTAAAGAAACCCACCTCACTTCTTTGTCTGCTACCATGTATAGAAGATGGTCTCAATTGCTTGATATGAACACTTAAATATACTGCCTTTCGGCACTGGCAATCCAAAAGTCTCCTTCAGTATCAATTCTTTAAAACCTGTGTCCTATTATCATCTAGCCTGATCTCTTTGCATTTTTATTTGCAGAACAGTGTCTGGCACATTCTAGGAAATATTGTAAGTATCTGTTACACAAACTTTTGTTTTTTGAGATGTAGTCTTGCTCTGTCACCCAGGCTGGATTGCAATGGCATGATCTCGGCCCACTGCAACTTCAGCCTCCCAGGTTCAAGCGATTCTCGTGCCTCAGCCCCCGAGTAGCTGGGATTACAGGTGTGCACCACAATGCCTGGCTAATTTTTGTAATTTTAGTAGGGTTGGGGTTTCACCATGTTAGCCAGGCTGGTCTCAAACTCCTGACCTCAAGTGATCCGCCCACCTCAGCCTCCCAAAGTGCTGGGGTTACAGGCATGAGCCACCTCACCCAGCCTTGTCAAATAAATGCTTAGAAACACAGCTGTTAATAATGAAGAGTTTAAGAAACTTATCCTTGATAACTTTAGTGGGAAATATCTGTTGCTTTTCTTGTATTTCACTCTTTTCTGACCTATAGAAATTGCTGCCTTTGGTGACAAAGTAATTCGCTTCACGTTATGAATTGTGACACTATTTCTGTTTCAACAGATTTCCCCTTAGACATGAATACACACCAAAGAACAGTTTTGACCACATGAACATCATACTCTTGAAAGATTTAAACACATTTTACAATGTGATTGTGTGCTATTAAAAAGACCTAGTCCTATATTAGGGAGTCTCTTCATAATTAACCCAAATGAAGTCATCAAACAAGATGAATGATCTTCCAAGAGGTTGAAGGGACAGGGGCACTATATCATGTGAAATCTCATGGGAAAATCTCCCTGCAAACTGAATGCCAGATTCTTTTTTTTTTTTTTTTTTAAAGATGGGGGTCTTGCCCAGGCTGGTCTCAAACTCCTGGGCTCAAGTAATCCTCCCACCTCGGCCTCCCAAAGTGCTGAGATTACAAGCATGAGCCACCACACCCGGCCAGATTCTTCTGTTTCTTCTCTTTTGACACATGGTCTCACTCTCTTGTCTAGGCTGGAGTGCAATCACATGATTACAGCTCATTGCAGCTTCAAACTTCCTGGCTCAAGCAATCCTCCTATCTCAGCCTCCCAAGTAGCTGAGACCACAGGTGTTCGCCACCATGCCCAACCAATTTTTTTACTTTTTGTAGAGATGGGGGTCTCCCTATCTTGCCATGCTGGTCTCGAACTCCTGGGCTAAAGTGATCCTCCTGTTTAAGCTTCCCGAAGTGCTGGGATTACAGTCATGAGCCACCGTACCCAGCCCAGATTCTTCTCTGGCCTCATCAAATTTGAGTTTTTCCCAAGAACATTTTGAGAAAGAAATCAATAAATCACCCTAAGTCACCTATAGCTTTTCAAAAACCACATGGTGAAATTCACTCATAGTCTTTCAAATATGACTGTTCAGTAAGTGCAAAAAAGCATAACTGTACTGCATAAAGTATTCTAAACAATTAATTTTGTTTTGGCTGGGTGCAGGGGCTCACACCTGTAATCCCAGCACTTTGGGAGGCCGAGGTGGGTGGATCACCTGAGGTCAGGAGTTCAAGACCATCCCTGTCTCTACTAAAAATATAAAAATTAGCTAGGTGTGGTGCTGCGCACCTACAGTCCCAGCTCTCAGGAGGCTGAAGCAAAAGAATTGCTTGAACCTGGGAGGTGGAGGTTGCAGTGAGCCGAGATCACGCCACTGCACTCTAGCCTAGGCAACAGAGTGAGACTCCGTCTCAAAAAAAAAAAAAAAAAAAAAAAATTGTTTTAATTGAATTGGCTAACATTTTTAAAATTATGGTAAAATATATATAAAATTTACCATTTCAAGCATTTTAAGCATACAATTCAATGACATTAAATACATTCATGCTGTTGTGTAACCATCACCATTATCCATTTCCAGAACTTTTTCATCACCCAAACAGAAATTCTGTACCCATTAATAACTCCTGGCTAGGCACGGTGGTTTACACCTGTAATCCTAGCACTGTAGGAGGCTGAGGTGGGTGGATCATCTGAGGTCGGGGGTCGAGACCAGCCTAGCTAACATGGTGAAACCCCATCTCTACTTAAAATACAAAAAATTAGCCGGGCATGGTGGTGCACGCCTGTAATCCCAGCTATTAGGGAGGCTGAGGCAGGAGAATTGCTTGAACCCAGGAGGCGGAGGAGGCAGTGAGCTGAGATCCTGCCTCTGGAAGACAGAGTGAGACTCTGTCTCAAAAACAAACAAACAAAGAAACAAACAAAGAAACAAAACACTCAAACACTCCTCATCCTCCTTCCATCTAGTCCCTGACAACTTCTATTCTACTTTCTATCCCTATGAATTTGCCTATTATAGGTACCTCATACAATTTGGTATGCAGATACATTTCCAGATACTAAATAACTGGGTATAATTATTAATTATAAAGGGTATTACTGAGTTTAAGGATTGTATTATGAAAACACTATAATTATATTTTAATTTCTTCCAAGGCTCAGTGTAGGATATATAATCAAGAATAAACAATTTTAAAATTTAGCAATTAACCAATACACCCATCCAAAATATATATTTTTTGATGGAGTCTCACTCTGTCACCAGGCTGGAGTGCAGTGGCACTATCTCGGCTCACCGCAACCTCTGACTCCCTAGTTCAAGTGATTCTTCTGCCTCAGCTTCCCAAGTAGCTGGGATTACAGGCACGCGCTACCACGCCCAGCTAATTTTTATATTTTTAGTAGCGACAGGGTTTCACCATTGTTGGCCAGGATGGTCTTGATCTCCTGACCTTGTGATCTTCCCACCTCAGCCTCCCAAAGTTCTGGGAATACAGGTGTGAGCCACCGTGCCTAGTCAAAACATTTTACTCCAATAGTCAAAGCATTTACTGAACAGTCATTGGCTAATACTTAATCCAGAATAAGGAAAATCAAGGTATAAACTTCTTACTGTGCTAAATAGTAGTGTAACAGTTACCTTAACTAGCTGATAAAAATATTTTAATTTGCTTGAGAGATACAGCTTTAGAATGAAGAGGGAGAATTCATTAGGCTACCAAGGCTTTCTGAAAATATCTGTTAAGACCCTTTTTATTTACCAAGATATTTAATTATTTCATTTTATTTCCCAAACAAGTTTATCTACATAGAAAGCAACATATTTACCTACTGACAAGAATACCCCACTGCTCTACACAGAGTTATAGTCCATACTGCAAATTAAGGAACTGACTTAGTGGCAGGGTGCGGTGGCTCATGCCTATAATCCCAGCGCTTTGGGAGGCCTGAGGTGGGTGGATCACTTGAGGTCAGGAGTTCGAGACCAGCCTGACCAACATGGTGAAATCCCATCTCTACTAAAAACACAAAAAAAATTAGCTGGGCATGGTGGTGCATGACTGTAATCCCAGCTACTTGGGAGGCTGAGACAGAAGAATCACTTGAACCTGGGAGGTGGAGGTTGCAGTGAGTCAACATTGCACCACTGTACTTTAGCCTGAGCAACAAGAGCAAAACTCCATCTCAAAAAAAAAAAAAAAAAAAGAATTAAGTGATTTATACATTAAACCTCTAACAAAAAGCAGTTTCCTGACCACCTAAACTGAATAATTAGCATATAAGCTACAGTCAGTCATTAAGAGCAAATGCCCAACAATACTCAAAATCTTAAACTGACTAGACATTTAAAAAACAAAAGATCTAAAATACATATGCATATGGCTGTATGTATATATGTATATAAATATGCCCACCTGAGGACCACCATATATGAACAGCACAGTTGGATATTTCTTTCCAGGCTGTAGATCATGAGGCTTGTATAGCATCCCATACAATGTAAATCCAGTAGTACTTTCAAAAGAGAAAATTTCTGGAGGGGTATAGTCAGGAAGAGGACCTGTGAATAGGTAACATACCACAGTCTACAAAAGAGTTCTTATGGGAGTGCTACAATCTGGGAACAAGAAAGAAGATATTAAAAGACAGCCCCTCCAACACAAACTGACCACCCCTCTTTCAGATGATAAGCTAGAATTTAAGCAAGAGTATATTCACCTTTAAAAACAAAACTAGGCCAGGCACAGTGGCTTACACCTACAATCCTAGCACTTTGGGAGGCTGAGGTGGGTGGATTGCTTGAGCCCAAGAGTTTGTGACCAGCCTGGATGACATGGCGAAACCTGTCTCTACAAAAAAATTAAAAAATTACCCAGGCATGGAGGTGTGCTCCTGCAGTCCCAGCTACTCAGGAGGCTGAGGCAGGAGGATTGATTGAGCCCAGGAGGTTGAGGCTACATTGAGCTGTGACTGCGCTACTGCAGTCCAGCCTGGGCGACAGAACAAGACACTGTCTTGACAACAACAAAAACCCACCAAATAAAAAACAACAACAAAACAAACATATCAAACTATTTCAGAAGCAGACACAGAGTGTTATCAATAATCCTTGGAGCCTAGGAAACGTCTATGTACAGAACTATACAAATACTTTATGCTCAATGTAACTTATTGGTTAAACCATCTATCTGGTTAGAAACAAATAAAGCTGGGTAGGGGGTGAGGGAAATTATTAGTCAATTTAATTTTTCATGGTAGGTGACCAAAAACATTTGCTTCTGATCATTAGAAAATAAGCCTAACCAGAACTCAGAAAAAAGTCATTATCAGTTTGGTTCACCAAGGCTATACAGACATCTCCTAAGTGTCTGTGTACAGCGGATAATTTACAGTCTAGGCAGAGATCATCACCATATTACAAATTCGGATTCTGCTTGTGGATATTAAAACACACTTATATTTTTTCGTTCTGTACTAATTTCTCTTTTTTTTTTTTTTTTTTTGAGACAGAGTCTCACTCTGTTGCCCAGGCTGGAGTGCAAGGGTGTGATCTCAGCTCACTGCAACGTCCACCTCCCAGGTTCAAGTGATTCTCCTGCCTCAGCCTCCCAAGTAGCTGGCACTACAGGTGCCCACCACCACGCCCAGCTAGTTTTTGTATTTTTAGTAGAAGTGGGGTTTCACCATGTTGCCCAGGTTGCTCTTGAACTCCTGATATCAAATGACCCACACACCTCAGCCTCCCAAAGTGCTGGGATTATAGGCATGAGCCACCATGCTTGGCCTAATTTCTTAATCCCTTAGCAGAAATAGTGAATTAGTAAAAATACTAGAAAAAAAGATTGGGGATTAAAGTGAATTAGAGGATACATAAAACCAGTCCATTCTTTTTTTTTTCTTTTTTTTGAGACGGAGTCTTGCTCCATTGTCCAGGCTGGAGAGCAGTGGCGCAATTTCAGCTTACCGCAACCTCTGCATCCTGGGTTCAGCAATTCTCTTGCCTCAGCCTCCTGAGTAGCTGGGACTACAGGCGTGTACCACCATGCCCGGCTAATTCTATTTTTTTTTTTTTTTTTTTGAGACGGAGTCTCGCTCTGTCGCCCAGGTTGGAGTGCAGTGGCCGGATTTCAGCTCACTGCAAGCTCCGCCTCCCGGGTTCACGCCATTCTCCTGCCTCAGCCTCCCGAGTAGCTGGGACTACAGGCGCCTGCCACCTCACCCGGCTAGCTTTTTCTATTTTTTTTAGTAGAGACGGGGTTTCACCGTGTTAGCCAGGATGGTCTCGATCTCCTGACCTCGTGATCCGCCTGTCTCGGCCTCCCAAAGTGCTGGGATTACAGGCTTGAGCCACCATGCCCAGCCAATTCTTTGTATTTTTTAATAGAGACAGGGTTTCACCGTGTTAGCCAGGATAGTCTCGATCTCCTGACCTTGTTATCCGCCCACCTCGGCCTCCCAAAATGCTAGGATTATCGGTGTGAGCCACCACACCCAGCCCAGTCCATTCTTCATGTTTAAGAAATCAAACATTTTAAACAGATAATTCAGTGTTTCTCTCATTCCAGAGACAGCAAGTGTTCTTTTATTAAGATGGCCATTACAACTGCTTCAAAAGTTTAAGAAAGCTATCAGCTGGTTATTCTCTAAAGCTGCAGCTTCCTTGCTCAAAGAGTCTTACCAGTTCAGAATACTATTATCTTCAAGTTCATTTGTTTACCTGAGAAATCATCAAAATTTGTGAATAAACTGTTTCCTAGCTGATACCTTGACTATTTTAATCTTATTTTCTTTTTTTTTTTTGAGACAACGTCTTGCTTTGTCACCCAGGCTGCAGTTCAGTGGTGTTATCTTAGCTCACTGCAACCTCCGCCTCCTGGCTTCAAGTGATTCTCATGCCTCAGCCTCCCGAGTAGCTGGGACAACAGGCACACAGCACCACGCCCAGCTAATTTTTGTATTTTCAGTGGAGACGGGGTTTTAACCGTGTTGGCCAGGCTGGTCCCGAACTCCTGACCTCAAGTGATCCACCCTCCTCGGTCTCCCAAAATGTAGGGATTACAGGCGTGAGTCACTGCACCTGGCCTTAATCTTATTTTCAAAAAGGCCTTCCAGACTTGCTCCTGCTTGGAGTGAGAAGTAACCCATCTTATTCAGCAGTTAACAGAACAGGAGAAGTGGGATCTATCAGGACCTCAGCAGCTCAGGGACAGGAAGTGGTGAGAGATGGGAAGACTTGTTCAGGAAATGTGAAAATATGACACAAGTTTAGTGTACTAACATATTAATCCTACTTAACGTCAGGATCGGGGCAAAAAAGAATACCTGCTGAATCCAAAATGGTGGCCCAAAATTCCTTTGTTTTGCAAGTTAGATCATCTTCAGAACTTGATAGCTTGTAAAGGGACACACAGTGTGGATTCTTCTGGTTACTATACTTACTTATAAAGAAGTCACAATGCTAGGGAAAGAAGAAACAATTACATTTTTCCTTAGGGAGGCAGAAAAGGTTATCTGCTGTTATATCTGCACTAATGATATAGCAGGAGTATTATAAGAGACTATTTATATACATAAACAATGTTGAAGTTAAGCTTTTTAAAGCTTTTCCTTAGAGAATTAGGCTTTTGCAGGCCAATTTCACATCATTCAAAAGGAGTATTACATAAGCAGAGAGTTTTAATATGACACAAAACCCTTTTTAAACAAACTTAATACCTGACTGATGCAGCAAGAATGTGAATAGCCACGGTCAGTCAGCCTTGTCACCTCTCCAGGATTTACGTAACTGACTACGTACAGATGATGCTCTAAAGGAGAGTCTTTGGTGCCTTCAAAATATACCAGCCTTCTGACTTCATCAACTTGGATCTGACAAGATAACAACAATAACAAAATCAGGGCTAACATGACCTTGGCAAAGCTAACCCCCAATTTTATTTAGAATCACTTGAGTCACTTCCTGACTTATGCCTTTTTTTTCCTTTTTTTTTTTTTTTGCTGCCACTATTAATAAACCTGAGTTAATTTTGCTTATTTATTTATTTATTTATTTATTTTTATTTTATTTTTTTTTTTTGAGACGGAGTCTCGCACTGCCGCCCAGGCTGGAGTGCAGTGGTGCGATCTCGGCTCACTGCAAGCTCCGCCTCCCGGGTTCACGCCATTCTCCTGCCTCAGCCTCCCGAGTAGCTGGGACTACAGGCGCCCGCCATCTCGCCCGGCTAGTTTTTTGTATTTTTTAGTAGAGACGGGGTTTCACCGTGTTCGCCAGGATGGTCTTGATCTCCTGACCTCGTGATCCACCCGTCTCGGCCTCCCAAAGTGCTGGGATTACAGGCTTGAGCCACCGCGCCCGGCCTATTTATTTATTTTTTAAAGAGTTGAAGTCTCACCTCTGCTACCCAGGCTGGAATGCAATGATGCGATCACAGCTCACTACAGCTTCAAAATCCGAGGCTGAAGCTATACTCTCATCCCAGCCTCCTGGGTAGCTACAAGCATACACTACCATGCCCAGCTAAGTTTCTAAATGTTTTTAAAGAGATGGGGCCTCACTATGTTGCCCAAGCTGGTCTTAAACCCATGGCCTCAAGCAATCCTCCTGCCTCAGCCTCCTAAAGTGTTGGGATTACAGACATGAGCCACCATGCCTGGCTGTTCATGACTTATAGCTAAGAATAGGTCCTGCCCTGAAGGAAAAAGGACACCTGAGTTACACACTGTATAGTTTCCCATCTGGTCAGAATGTGTGTTTTTCTTAAAAGACAAGAATTATTTCCTTAAAATAACAACTCTTTATAGGGGAAAAAATACTCTGCTATATTGCAGCTATAGCTATAACAAGATTATAACTAATCTTGTTAAACAGATTACTAAGCCCCACCAACAAAGTTTGATTCAGGATGTCAGAGGTGGGCCCAAGAATGTGCCTTTCTTTCTTTCTTTCTTTCTTTTTTTTTTTTGAGACCAAGTTTCGCTCTTGTTGCCCAGGCTGGAGCGCAGTGGTGCGATCTCGGCTCACTGCAACCTCTGCCTCCTGGGTTCAAGCGATTCTCCTGCCTCAGCCTACCAAGTAGCTATAGCTGCAATATAGGTCAATCATTCATACATACTTGAAAGTCTAATTTTACTATCTTGTACATTTATTAGTTACTGTTATATTATTCTAGGCTGTACTTTTTTGGTCTTTTGCACAAATTTGCAAAAGTGTTTTTTCTACTGGGTTGTGGAATAATGAAACTAAATCACAGTTTCAATACTGGTGTAGTTTACAAATAAACATGGATAAGATCTTTTAAGTCTTCATTCAGAACTCAAAAAACCGCAAGTAAACTCAATAGCTGAATTCACTTAATATTCTTCTCAAATTACAGTATGATTTCAATAAATGGCTTTCTTTTATTGTTCCTGTAAATCTTCTACCAGCCAACTCAAACAATGTTTAAGAAAATTTTTGGCCAGATGTGGTGGCTTGCACCTGTAATCCCGGCACTTTGGGAGGCTGAAGTGAGAGGATTGTTTGAGCTTAGGAGTTTGAGACCAGTCTGGGCAAAATAGGGAGACCCCAATTCTACAAAAAATGAAAAAATTAGCTGGGCATGGTGATGCATCCCTTTAGTCCCAGCTACTTTGAAGGCTGAAGTGGAAGGACCACTTGAGCCCAGAATTTGAAGCTGCAGCGAGCCATGATCATGCCAATGCACTCCAGCCTGGGCAACAGAGCAAGACCCTATCTCAAAAAAAAAAAAAAAATGCAAATTTTTGACACAGCAATGAAAACACAGATATATTTCTAAAAGTAAGTTATTTTTAAATGTCTTTCCCCCTCCAGGAAGCTGTCTCTTCATCACTAACATATTTTTAGCATGCATAAATAGAAATCAACACAGTTGGGATTAAGTAGGCCCATATGACATACACAGAAAGCATACAAATGATAGGAAACAAATATTCATGAAACTTTACAAGTATGTGTTAATCTTTGCAAAAGATCAGGACTCTTTCTGTTTTGACCTAGCAGATGGGAGTCAGGCCTTTCAAAACTAAAAAAATAACCAGTCAATTCCTCACCACCACCGACAGTGGTTTTCCTGTTTCCTGTAACTACTTAACATCCAACAGAAGTATCATAATCGGGTGGGGGGCTTGTTAAACAGATTACTAAGCCCCATCAACAAAGTTTGATTCAGGATGTCAGAGGTGGGCCCAAGAATGTGTATTTCTTTCTTTCTTTCTTTTTTTTTTTTGAGACCAAGTTTCGCTCTTGTTGCCCAGGCTGGAGTGCAGTGGCGCCATCTTGGCTCACTACAACCTCTGCCTCCTGGGTTCAAGCGATTCTCCTGCTTCAGCCTCCCAAGTAGCTGGGATTACAGGCATATGTGCCACCACACACGGCTAATTTTATATTTTCAGTAGAGACGGGGTTTCACCATGTTGGCCAGGCTGGTCTCGAACTCCTGACCTCAGATGATCCGCCCGCCTTGGCCTCCCAAAGTGCTGGGATTACAGGCATAAGCCACTGTGCCTAGCCAAGAATGTGCATTTCTAATAAGTTCCCAGGTGATGCTGACGCTTTGCACTGGTCCAGCACTTTGAGAACCACCCACAACAATAAAAAGCTCACAGGTGGCTGGGCGCAGTGGCCCATGCCTGTAATCCCAAAACTTTGCGAGGTGGAGGCAGCAGGTCACTTGAGGTCAAGAGTTCGAGACCAGCCTAGCTAACATAGTGAAACCCTGTCTCTACTAAAAATACAAAAATTAGCTGGGCATGGTGGCATGCACCTGTAATCCCAGCTACTCAGGAGGCTGAGACAGGAGAATCGCTTGAACCCAGGAGGCAGAGGTTGCAGTGAGCCAAGATCGCACCTTTGCACCCCAGCCTGGGCAACAAGAGCAAAACTCAGTCTCAAAAAAAAAAAAAAAAAAAAATTACAAAAATTAGCCAAGTGTGGCAGGTGCCCATAATCCCAGCTACTCGGGAGGCTGAGGCATGAGAATTCCTTGAACCCAGGAGGTGGAGGTTGCAGTGGGCTGAGATCGCACCACTGCACTCCAGCCTGGGTGACAGAGCGAGACTCCATCCCAAAAAAGAAAAAGCTCATAGGCTTAAAAGTCTTAAAGCTTTACCCAATTACTGCCATTAGAAATCTTTGGGTGGGTGGCCAGGTGCGGTGGCTCACACCTGTAATCCCAGCACTTTGGGAGTCCAAGGCAAGAGGATCCCCTGAGGTCAGGAGTTCGAGACCAGCTTGGCCAACACGGCAAAACCCCGTCTCTACTAAAAATACAAAAATTAGCTGGGCATAGTGGTGGGCGCCTGTAATACCAGCAACTCAAGAGACTGAAGCAGGAGAATCACTTGAACCTAGGAGGCGGAGGTTAAAATGAGCTGAGATCGCACTATTGCACTCCAGCCTGTGCAACAGAGTGAGATTCCGTCTCAAAAAAAAAAAAAAACTTTGGGTGGGAACAGACTTGTAAAAGCAGAGAAGGAAAAAGATAACTTAAGTCAAAAAACAAATCAAGAACAGAGGGAAAGGGCCAGGCACGGTTGGCTCACGCCTGTAATCCCAGTACTTTGGGAGGCTGAGGTGGGCAGATTGCTTGAGCTCACAAGTTTGAGGCCAGCCTGGCTAACATGGTGAAATCCCGTCTCTACTAAAAATACAAAAATTAGCCGGGCGTGGTGGCAGGTGCCTGTAATCCCAGCTAGTTAGGGGGCCGAGGCAGGAGAATCGCTTGAACCTGGGAGGTGGAGATTGCTGTGAGCTGACTTCGCACCATCGCACTCTAGCCTGGAGGACAAGAGTAAGACTTGTCTCCAAACAAAGAAACACAAAAAAAGAATAGAAGGAAGGAAAGGCCAGGTGCGGTGGCTCACGCCTGAAATCCTGGCACTCTGGGAGGTCAAAGTGGGTGGATCACCTGAGGTCAGGGGTTGAAGACCATCCTGGCCAACATGGCGAAACCCTGTCTCTACTAAAAATACAAAAATTAGGCGGGCATGGTGGTGTATGCCTGTAATCCCAGCTACTTGGGAGGCTGAAGCAGCAATGCTTGAACCCAGGAGGCAGAAGTTGCAGTAAGCCGAGATCATGTCACTATACTCCAACCTGGGCGACAGAGTGAGATTCCATCTCAAAAAAAAAAAGAGGGAAAATAGAGAGAAAAACAGACTAACGTATCAATGTATCACAAGCAAACATGACATGAAAGAAAACTGATAAACGTAGTGGCAAGTAGTAGATGTTTAGGTGGCTCAAATAAGGATCAGATGTATGCAATTACAATTATTGGGGTTCCCTCAGCATTATGTAATGACTCTTATCCTTCAACCATCACATAGCATGAAATTTACATCAGTGTAGTTTTCTGTTTTCAGAACCTAGAATTCCACAATAAGAGTTTTTTCTCAGGTGACAGTAACATCCAAGGTCCTTCAACAGAAAAAAATATTTGGAAACAAAAATAAAACCCAAAAATTTATTTGGATATAAAACAAGAAGGCCACGTGAGGATCTCAGTGGAAATGAGACTTTAAAGGTCCATCTTGATACCCTAAAGTGTTTGTTGTTGCTGCTGTTTTGAGGCAGGTATCATTCTGACACCCAGGCTATAGTACAGTAGTACAGTATTGTGGTCACAGCTCAATGCAGCCTCAACCTCCCAGGCTAAAGCAATCCTCCCCACTCAGCCTCCTTAGTTACTGGGACTACAGGCATGCACCACCATCACCAGCCTGACTTTTTTTTTTTTTTTTTTTGGTAGAGATGGAGTCTGCCTATGTTACCCAGGCTGACCTCAAACTCCTGGGCTAAAGCCATCCTCTTGCCTTGGCCTCCCAAAGTGCTGCAATTACAGGTATGCCCCACCATGCCTGTCTAATTTTAAAATTTTCTTTGCAGAGACAGAGTCTCACTATGTTGTCCAAGCTGGTATCAAATTCCTGGGCATAAGTGATCCCCCAACATTGGCCTCCCAAAGTGTTGGAACTACAAGTTTGAGCTACCATGCCCAGCAGATACTCTAAAGTTTTTACTAACAAAAACAAACCTGGGATCTGGATCTTCATTATGTCTCCTTAATTACTTTAGAAACTACAAGTGATTTTTACAGTAGTCAGTAAACATAATCCTTCAATAAATATTCCTGTCAATTTGAGGAAACCACACTTAGGCCTTCACTAAATCCTGGCAGCATACCTCAACTGTATGTGTCACACACATACAGGATGGAGTCCCTAGGCATCTCATGAATATGATCATCCAAGTGACAGCTGCAACAAATGCAAGGTACTTCAAAAAAGCAATTTTTTTTTCTTTGAAGAATTCACTGAATTGGTACTGAGAATAAAACAGAGGGTAGACTTCCTTCCTTTTCCCTATCAATCTAAGTAAGCTCTGTATAAATACCCATCACTCTTTGCAGGTGGTGAATTAAAGTTTAAATTTGTGGGGTAAGATAAACAGATGAATGAAAGACAATCACTACTTCAGAAGAAGTAAATGCAATTTATTTATTTATTTATTTATTTTTGAGACAGAGTATCACTCTTTCAGCCAGGCTGTAGTGCAGTGATATGATCATAATTCATTTGCAGCCTGGACTTCCTGCACTCAAGCGATTCTCCTGCCTCAGCCTCCCAACTAGCTAGGACTACAGGTGTGCATCACCATGCCCAGCTAATTTTTTTTTTTTTTTATTTTTGGCAGAGACAGGGTCTTATATGTTGCCCAAACTGTTACTGAACTCTTGGCCTCAAGCAATTCTCCAGCCTTCATCTCCCAAAGGGCCGGATTACAGGTGTGTGCCACTGTGCCCAGGCAGTAAATGCAATTTATAATGTAGATACAAGTAGTCTGTAATAGATTTTTAAGTCACTTTTCAAACCATATGCTAACTTACAACTTTTGCTAGGCTCTAAAACTATGAATATGTCCCTTTCTCATCAATGAGCAACAATACATTTTAAAATGGTGGGCTTGGCCAGGCGTGGTGGTTCACACGTGTAACCTCAGCACTTTGGGAGGCCGAGGCGGGTGAAATGCTTTAGCTCAGGAGTTTGAGACCAGCCTGGGCAACATGGCGGAACCCTGTCTACAAAAAATACAAAAATTAGCTGGGTGTGGTGGTGTGTGCCTGTAGTCTCAGCTACTTGGGAGGCTGAGGTGGGAGGATGGCTTGAGCCCAGGAGGCAGAGGTTGTAGTGAGCCAAGATTGTGCCACTGCACTCCAGCCTAGGCAACAAAGTCAGACCCTGTCTCAAAAAAGAAAAGAAAATGGTGAGCAGGACACGGTGGCTCACGCCTGGGAGGTGGCAAGGTGGGAGGATCCTTTGAGCCTGGGAGTTCAAGACCAGCATGGCCAACATGGCGAAATCCTGTCTCTCCTAAAAATACAAAAATTAGCCGGGCATGGTGGTGTATGCCTGTAATCCCAGCTACTCGGGAGGCTGAAGCAGCAGAATTGCTTGAACCAAGGAGGTGGAAGTTGCAGTAAGCAAAGATCATGCCACTGCACTCCAACCTGGGCTACAGAGTGAGACTCCATCTCAAAAAAAAAAAAAAGAAAAAGAAAATAGAGAAGAGAGAAAGACAAACTAACGTATCACAAGTACACACGACATGAAAGAAAACTGATAAACGTAGGGGCAAGTAGTAGATGTTTAGGCGTAGTAGATGTTTAGGTTTGAGACCAGCCCAGTCAATATATATGAGACCCTATCTCTACCAAAAATTTAAAAATTAGCTTGTGGTGGTGTACACCCGTAGTCTCAGCTACTCCAGGGGCTGAAGTGGGTGGATTGTCAGCCTGGGAGGTTGAGACTGCAGTGAGCCATGATTGTACCCTGCACTACAGCCAGGGTGACAGAGCAAGACCCTGTCTCACAAAAAAGAAAAGAAAATAACCTTTAGGAACACATCTATAAAAGGGCTATAAAATAAATGAGATTTATAATTTAAACTAAGATTATTTCTTTTCAACAATGTGAGTAATTTTAGGCCCTAACTTAGTATTTTAAAAATACTGGGGTTGGCTGGGCACAGTGGCTCACGCCCTGTAAAGTGAGGCCGAGGCGGGCAGATCACGAGGTCAGGAGTTTGAGACCAGCCTGGCCAACATGGTGAAACTCCGTCTCTACTAAAAATACAAAAAAGTTAGCCGGGTGTGGTGGCACCTGCCTGTAATCCCAGCTACTTGGGAGGCACAGGCAGGAGAACTGCTTGAACCCGGGAGGCGGAAGTTGCAGTGAGCCGAGATCACCCCATTCATTGCACTCCAGCTCTGGGCGACAGAGCAAGACTCTGTCTCGGAAAACAAAATACCGGGATCATATTAAATTACACTCATTTTTAGCACTGCATTCACACAGTAATACTGACCAAACATATCAGTAGAATAAAATAACATACATTAGATCCATGCCGGCCAAGAACTTCCCATTCACCACTGGTAATTGCTATCTCCTCTTTGATAGGACACTTGAAATCACCTGAAGATAAATATAATTATAATTCAGTACATTATACCAGACTATTAGCAAATGAAACAATTAAGAACAGTACTCTAAGCTCTTTTTTCCAAAAAGTTATGTTTGGAGTAATAAAAATGTTTTTGAACTAGACAGAGGTTACACAGCATTGTGAATGTACTAAATGCCACTGCATTGCTTATTTTTATTTTTTATTTTTTTGGAGACAGTCTCACTCTGTTCCTGAGGCTGGAGTGCAGCAGCATGATCACAGCTCACTGCAGCCTTCGCCTCTTAGGCTCAAGCTTTCCTCCTATCTCAGCCTCCTGAGTAGCTAGGACTAGACACCACTAAACCCAGCAAATTATTATTTTTGGTAGCAATGAGGTCTCACTATATTGCCCACGCTGGTCTTGAACTGCTGGCCTAAAGCCCTCCTGCCTTGGCCTCTCAAAATACTGGGATTACAGGCATGGGCCTGAATTGTTTATTTTTATATGGTTAACTTAATGTTTTATGAATTTCACTTCAATAAAAAAAACTCTACAGTTAAAAAAAAATCCAAGTTATGAGTCTTTACAATAATTGGAATAATAATGGAATGATCTATTTAGATAATGCAAAAATAGCAAAAGAGATTTTTTGGCAAAGCCAGAAGAAAACTCAAAAGCACCTGTATTCTTGAACCTTTGGTTAGACAAACAAAGAAGTCTAATGGATTGACAAAGCATTTCTTTTCTTTTTGTTTTTTTTCCATAACTTGTTTCTGTTGATTTTTTTCTTTTTGTAAAACTTTCCCAACATATTTTCAGATTTAAAAATAAATAAAGTCAGTGTTAAAGGTGCTGGTCAGCCTTCTTACTTGTACCCTTGTACCTTAGACACTGGGGTAAAAAAGGAGGTCCAGGGCAATGCAGTGATATTTCTGCCAGGATACTCCCCCCAACCCCAAACTTAGTAGTTAGTTGAAAGTATGACATTTACAGGCTAGAGAGACCCAAATACCTCTATTCCACCCCAGTGCTAGGTGGAAGTTGGGTCCGCTGCTGCCCCGAGCCAGCTTTATCTTCTGAGTGTGGGCTTTGGAGGAACAGGAGAACTGGCTCTTGGCCACTGTGAGGGGTACAGCTTTGCCACTCAAATATATATTATGGCATTCAGGGAGCCAGGGTCCAGAGCTGCAGGGCTGGGGTCCCTGTCTCACTCCCACAAAGACCATCACACGACTGGCCATAAAGGCATTAAAACCAGCCTGGTGCAATCCATCCCCAGGCACTGAGTTAGGACTGGCTTGACTCCCTGGCACTTCTGAGGTAGCCATATCAGCTATTTCAATAAGACATTTCTTCTAAAAGTGCAACAAACTACTTTAAAACCCACAAAAGAAAATGTTTAATACAATTGTTCTTCATTTGCCAAACAATTACCCAGGTAAGTGTTTACCATAGTAAATGTCAACATGTCCCATTCGTTTTGTTTTTGTTTTCTTCCTGTTCAGCTCTGTCGCCCAGGCTACAGTGCAGTGGCACGATCACAGCTCATTGCAGCCTTGACCTCCCCAGGCTCAGGTGATCCTCCCATCTCAACCTCCCAAGTAGCTAGGACTACAGGCTCATGCCACCACACTTGGTTAGTTTTTTTTTTTTTTTGTCTTTTTTTGTAGAGACAGGGTTTTGCCATGTTGCCTAGGCTAGTCTCAAACTCCTGGACTCAAACAATCTGCCTGCCTCAGCCTCCCAAAGTGTTGAGATTATAGGCGTGAGCCACCACACCCAGCACTCATTTGTTTTTATGAGCGTTTGTCTTGACAAGGCTCTCTCAGCGGCCTATAGGAACAGCTTAAAAAGGGAAAATCATTTCTCTTTTCCTCACTGCTTGTATCTATTGCTGTGGGGAGTGACAGCTGATGACAGGCCTAGGAGGAGAGACAGTACTAGTGACTTTCCTAGGCTTTCACGTAAGTTTTTTAAAAAATTGTAAACTCAAGGAGCACAAAAAAATTAAAAAATCAATTTAGTACTTTAAATACTATAGACAGAAATTACAAGATTAACATAGATAAATACTAACTGTTTTACATTACAGCTCTTAAGAAAGCAAAGAGGAGGAAGAAGGAAATGAAGTAGATATGAAGGTAAAGGAGGATGACTTGCAGCAAGAAAGACCAAGATGGCTATTATTTAAAAAGCAGAATATAACAAGTATCATCCAGAATGTAGACAAATTAAAACCCTGTGCACTGTTAGTGGGAATGTAAAATGGGGCAGCGGTAGCCACGACCATTGGTGTTTCAATGATGTAGCTCCTATGGAAAACAGTATGGTAGCCCCTCAAAAAACTGAAAATAGAATTACCGTATGATCCAGAAATTCCACTTTTGAGTACATACCCAAAAGAACTGAAAGCAGAGACAGGAACAGATACTTGTACACCCATGTCCACAGCAGCACTATTCACAATAGCCAAAAGGTGGAACCAATCCCCCAGTGCCGACGAACAGATAAACAAAACGTGGTATATACGTACAACGAAATCTTACTCAGCCCTAAAAAGGAAGGAAATCCTGACATGCACTACAAAATGGATGAAACTTGAGGGTATTATGCTAAGTAAATAAGCCAGTCAAAAAAAGGACAAAAACTGTATGACTCCACTTAAATAAGACATCTAGAGCAGTTACATTCACAGAGACAGAAAGTGGCTGCCAGAGGCTGGGGGTAAGGGGGTAATAGAAAGTGACTGTTTAATGGGTAGTTTCAGTTTTGGAAGATGAAAAAAATTCTGGAGACTGATAGTGGTGATGGTTGCACAATATGAACATAATCAGCTGGGTGCGGTGGCTCACGCTTGTAATCCCAGCATTTTGGGAGGCCAAGGCTGGTGAATCACATGAGGTCAGGAGTTCGAGACCAGCTCGGCCAACATAGTGAAACCCTGTCTCTACTAAAAATAAAAAAGTTAGCCATTATGGGTGGCGATATCCTGTTAATTCTATTATAGTGAGTCTGATAGTGGTAGTTAAGAATGCGTTGACGACTGGTGATGTCTGTAGGTTGCAGTGAGATTGAGACGGCACCGAAGCTGGCTCCGCCTGGGGAGAGGTGAGACTCGTGCTCCAAAAAAATAAATTAATTTAATTTATTTTAAAAATATTAATAAATATATCTCAATTGTCACTAAACGTATACCCTTAACAAATGGAATAAATGGTCACCAAATGCTAAATCGTTTGTTTATGGTACGTGTTTTCGCACAAAATGTTTTTTTGTTTTTGAGGATGAGTCTCCCTGCTCTGTGCACCATAGGCTGTAGTGCGGGGTGGAAGTGGCGCTGATCTCAGTCACTGCAAGCCTCTGCTCCGGGTTGCACGCCTTCTTCCGCCTTCAGGCCTCCGACCGCTCGCCGCGGGACTACATGCGTGCTGCACCATGCCCCACCTTTTTTTTTTTTTTTATTTAGTTAGCAGGGTTATCACCGTGGTTGAGCCAGGATGTCTCGATCTCCTGACCTTGTGATCCACCCGCCTTGGCCTCCCAAAGTGCTGAGATTACAGGCATGAGCCACCACGCTCGGCCCTCTTCCACAATTTTTAAAAAGGGCCATGCTGAATCTGTTAAGTTACAAATGGAGTTAAGCATAGAACATAACTTACCATAAAGTGCCTCCTATTCTAAAACAAACTATATTATTACAGTTGAGAACTGTAACTTGGTTTTAGGAAAACCCAGGAAAAGTGTTCTATGTACCCATTCACTTTTTCTACGCTTATGCATCCATTCTGAATCATATTTTCCAGATGAAAAACCACCACTTAAGGAAAACCACTTTTTTTTTTTTTTTTTTGAGACGGTGTCTAGCTCTGTCACCCAGGCTAGAATGCAGTGGCGCGATCTCGGCTCACTACAAGCTCTGCCTCCCGGTTCGTGCCATTCTCCTGCCTAAGCTTCCCAAGTATCTGGGACTACAGGTGCCCGACACCGCGCCTGGCTAATGTTTTGTATTTTTAGTAGAGACGGGGTTTCACCATGTTAGCCAGGATGGTCTGGATCTCCTGACCTAGTGATCCGCCCGCCTCAGTCTCCCAAAGTGCTGGGATTACAGGCGTGAACTACCGTGCTCGACAGGAAAACCACTTTTTAAAGAAAAATTAACTTCAGCTGATATAATATTTAATTTTACTTTGGGCAACATAATTATATCAATCCAAAGACCTATAACTATAAATCAACTCCAGTGTAGATGTGCACAGTATAAGAAACACCTAGTGTGTAAAAATATCTAATAATTACATAACATTTAAAAAATAGTGTTGTCTTTTTTTTTTCTTTTGAGACGGAGTCTTGCTGTGTCGCCAGACTGGAGTGCGGTGGCGTGATCTTGGCTCACTGCAACCTCCGCCTCCTGGGTTCGAGCGATTCTTCTGCTTCAGCTTCTCGAGTAAGCTGGGACTACAGGTGCACACTACCACGCCCGGTTCATTTTTGCATTTTTTAGTAGAGATGGTGTTTCGCCATGTTGGCCAGGCTGGTCTCAAACTCCTGACCTCAGGTGATCCGCCTGCCTCGGCCTCCCAAAGTGCTAGGATTACAGGTGTGAGCCACTGCACCCAGCCAAAAATAGTTTTTTCTAAATGGGCTCACTTTAAACAAATTAAAAATTGCAGTCAAAGCAAAAGTAGAAAGTAAAAATCAGTAATCCTGCTACTTACAGATTATTCACTATTAATACTTTATAATATGTGTCAATCCATTAAGAACTTTGTCCTGTGTTTTTTACACATACATGTATTTATATTTTTGTTTAATTTACATATTAAGTTTAATGAAGCAAGTATTTGATGCTTACAAAGCATGCAAAAGATACATTCCCCTGTCCCTCCCACCTTCTGCTTCCAACATTTTTTCTTTTTTAAAATAAAATGGATTTCTTACTTGGAGCAGGCAGCCCACCACTGGATCGTTTATATTTGCTTTCCTTTAAAATAGATGTAATTTTGTATAAATGACGGAAACCTGTTTTGCATTCAGAGGCAAAAATAAACTCAATTTCCTCTTCATGACTTTGGGGAAAAACATGAAAGATGTCATGGATCTGTAAAATGAAGAGCTAAATTTACTATACAGATTATGAAAATACTACATAATTCAATTAGGCTATAAGAAAAATTACTTGATAAATATACTTTGAAATATAAATAACCATCAGTGCCACAAGAATGCTGTACTTACAGTAATAAATTTTGCTTGGGGCTTTCAGATTTATTTTACTTTAGTCAAAGACTTCATCCACTGAGAAGTAAATGTTTTCAAATGGAGTAAAAAGGAAAATATGATGAAAAGTTTTTTCTTACTCAACATCTCTATAATCCTTGAAACATGGCACAAGGTTTGTTTAATAAAATAAATCTTGTTACAGAAAGATGAGGTAAAATTTTTTTTTACTTTTGTTTTCTGAAGAGAATTTTTCTAATAGTTCAGGGGAAAACAGGTATTTACAGGCAAATCATATGAAGCTTAAACTTATATTCAGCTAGGAAGTGAAATGGCTTTATTTATTTTGTATCTTAAACTTTTCTGCTAAATTGGAAAATTCAAAATTCAATTAAAAATTGGTACATTTTGGTACAGTTTGCCAACATAAAAGAGAAAGTCTTTTCTAGACCAGACTCATGAAGTCCTTTCAGAAGCACTGATGAGGCTGTGTATTTAATATCTGTTATCTCCAGGAACAAATCTGAGGCCAAGGAGATGTCATTTCAATGGCACCTACTTTCTATCTATTAAATACAAACCATTCCATTCTGGAACCATCACTCGAATTGGAATTGTTCATACTAAAGAAATAACATGGTCCCTTTAAAATAAAAAAAAAAGCATTTTGATAGTTTGCTATATAACTTCATTTGCTTTAGCATTCTGAGAAAATATTTAAACAAGTACAGGAAAAAATGCATACATTTATCCAGATGTCTGTTGTTTCTTCATAGATAATTAGTGGCGTCACAGAGTCAGGCACTGACTCAATGAGTCTCTGCCTTTCCATAACATCATCTTCTACTGGGATAAATAATTCAGGTGAAATCAACACTATTTGTAGGCGAGTTTGGGAGCGATCTAGTAGGATGGACCAAGCACTATTTAAATAAATAAAAGAGAAGAACCAGAAATAAAGCAAGCTATCAGAAAAAGAATCCTCTATATCTCATTTGGCACCTATCAATTATATCTATAATCACAATGAAAGAACTGCTTTGGTGTATATTAAATTATCACTTACAAATAGTTAATTAAAAATACACTTTAAGCTTGAATAGAATTTATAAAAAGTGGTTTTCTTGAAATGTCCAAAACCACAGTTGACCAGTGAAAGTGTTTTATCCCTGTAGGCTGGCATGAGCCTATAATCCCAGCACTTTGGGAGGTCAAGGTGAGAGGTCTGCTTGAGGCCAGGATTTCAAGATTACAGTAAGCTACGATCATGCCACTGCACTACACCCTGGGTGACACAGAGAGAGACCCTGTCTATATAAACAAAAGTTCTGCCAAGTGCAGTGGTTCACACCTGTAATCTCGGCACTTTGGGAGGCTGAAACAAGAGGATCACTAGAGCCCACGAGTTTTGAGACCAACCTGGCAAAATAATGAGACATCGTCTCTACAAAAAATGAAAAAAATTAGCTGGACATGGTGGCATGTCCCTGTAGTCCCAGCTACTCAGGAGGATAGCTTTAGCCGGGGAGGCTGAGGCTGCAGTGAGCCATGACTGCACCACTGCACTCCAGCATGGGTGACAGAGCGAGACCCTGACTCAAAAAAAAAGTTTTCTCCCTTTAGTATCAATGTCAACAAATGCCAGTCTTGTGAAACTCCTGCTGTCTACCTGAGACACAGAAACTATTTATTTGTAATAATCCTCATATAAAGCTCTACAATTATACAATTTTTAAAAATATACATTTATGTGTGAGCCTTCAAGTCATATAATTTAATCACAAATAACACTGTGAACCATAACTGGCTGAGTATACAGACAGAATTAAACTGCAGTGCACCTATGCTTATAGGGTTACAAATGCACAAATCCACTTAATTCAAGAAAAATGCCTTGTGCAGTAATAACTGTACTGCAAATTTACATGTGAAGGCAGCTCCAACTACAAGGCAAACCTAACAGCACAAATATTCCAAAGCTCTGGATCCTAAGTTAGTTATAAAGAAGTAACATTTAACATACGCACTATTTTCCCTCGGGAGTCCATCCAGCTCTGGCAATATATTCAACTCCTTCAAATAGAATCTCAAAAGGTTGAATTAGTTCCTTATCTATGACATCCATAATCTATTAAAAAAGAAAAAAAAGAATCTAGTTATAGAAGATTTAGATAAATAATTAGCTTGCTAGTCTACTTTAACAATTATCCAAAAAGCAGGAAATTTTTCCAGAGTTAGGTATTAAAAAGGCACAAAGGATATAACAAAACCAGGAGTAAATTCTGGGTTACCTATACTGGTACTCACTTTTTGTGCCTAAAAAAGTTCTAAGCACTTTTAACACATCCTAAAAGTCTATTTCTTTGTTAGTTGATACTAACAGAACACTTGATAATAACTGTAAAATCAAGTTTTAATCACCTTAAACTCGGGTATCCAGAAAAATAATAGTCCCTAATTCCCTATATTTCACCTAGAAATATATATATACACACACACAGTAATCATATTTTATTTATACATATGTGTGTGTGTGCATATATATATATTTGAGACAAGGTCTCATTTTGTTGTCCAGGCTGGAATGTAGTGGCCTGATCACAGCTTACTGCCTTCACAATTTCCCAGGCTCAAGTGATCCTCCTGCCTCAACCTCCTGAGTAGCTGAGACTACAGGTAAGGTGTGTGCTTGTAATAAAATTAAATAAAATATTAATTTTTAAATTTTTTGTAGAGATGGAGTCTCCCTATGTTGCCCAGGCTAGTCTCAAACTCCTGGGTTCAAGTGATCCTCCTGCCTTGGCCTCCCAAAATGCTAGGATTACAGGTATGAGCCAGTGTGCCCAGCCTAAAATATATTTGTATAACATATATATTTGTAATTATATATATATGGTGGGGTTTTTTTTTTTTTTTTTGAGATGGAGTCTTGCTCTGTCGCCCAGGCTGGGGTGCAATGGCCGGATCTCAGCTCACTGCAAGCTCCACCTCCTGGGTTTACGCCATTCTCCTGCCTCAGCCTCCTGAGTAGCTGGGACTACAGGCGCCCGCCACTTCGCCCGGCTAGTTTTTTGTATTTTTTTAGTAGAGATGGGTTTTCACCGTGTTAGCCAGGATGGTCTCGATCTCCTGACCTTGTGATCCACCCGTCTCGGCCTCCCAAAGTGCTGGGATTACAGGCTTGAGCCACCGTGCCCGGCCTTGTTTTTTTTGAGATAGAGTCTCACTCTGTTGCCCAGGCACCATCTCAACTCACTGCAACCTCTCTCTCCTGGGTTTAAGTGATTCTCCTGCCTCAGCCTCCTGAGTAGCTGGGATTACAAGCATGTGCCACTGCGCCCAGCTAATTTTTGTATTTTTAGTAGAGACGGGGTTTTACCATGTTGGCCAGGCTGGTCTCGAACTCCTGACCTGAGTGATCTGCCTGTCTCCCAAACAGTTGGGATTACAGGCATAAGCCACCGTGCTCGGCCCATTTGTGTAATATATTAAAGAAATAGCCCCGGCCGGATAAGCAAACTTTTTTCTTTTAAAAGTCTAGCAAACACACAGTAAAAAATAAATAATTTTTAAAAACTGCAAAGGATCTGAATAGACAGTCTTCCAAAGAAAATATATACATGGCTAATAAACACAGAAAATGATTCCCAACATCGTTAGCCATCAGAGAAATATAAATCAAAACCACAATGAGATACCACTTAAAACACAACAGCAGCCAGGCGCGGTGGCTCACGCCTGTAATCCCAGCACTTTGGGAGGCCGAGGCAGGCGAATCACGACGTCAGGAGATCAAGACCATCTTGGCTAATAACGTGAAACCCCATCTCTACTAAAAATATAAAAAAATTAGCTGGACGTGGTGGTGGATGCCTGTAGTCCCAGCTACTTGGGAGGCTGACGTAGGAGAATGGTATGAACTCGGGAAGTGGAGCTTGCAGTGAGCAGAGATCGCACCACTGCACTCCAGCCTGGGCGACAGAGTGAGACTCCATCTCAAAAAAACAAAAAAAAAACAAAAAAAAAAAACAAACCCACAATCGAATGGCTATAATAAATATAATGGACAACAAGAAGTGTTGGTGATAATGTGGAGAAACTGGAAATCTCATACAGGCTGAAGCAGGAGAATCACATGAACCCAGAAGGCAGAGGTTGAAGTGAGCCGAGAATCGCACCATTGCACTCCAGCCCGGGTGACAGTGCGGAACTCCATCTCAAAAAAAAAAAAAAAAAAGGTTGCCTAGTGCTGGGGGATATGAGGAGGTTGGAATATAAAATAGTGCATGCTGAGTGTGGTGGCTCACACCTGTAATCCTAGCACTTCAGGAGGCTGAAGTGAGAGGATCACGTGGGCCCAGGAGTTCAAGACCAGCCTGGGCAACACAGGGAAATCCTGTCGCTACAAAAAATAAAACTAGCTGGGCATGGTAGTGTGTGCCTGTAGTCCCAGCTACTTAGAAGGCGGAGGCAGGAGGATCACTTGAGCCTGAGAGGTTAAGGCTGGGCTGAGTGGGACTGTGTCACCGTACTCCAGGTTGGGTGACAAAGTGAGACCTTTCTCTTTTTTTGTATTTTTAGTAGAGAGGGGTTTTACCATATTAGGCAGGCTGGACACTTTCTTCAAAAAATAAAATAAAATAAAATAGTGCAGCCACTTTGGAAAAACACTTTAGTTCCACAAAAGGTTAAAAAATAGTCATCAAATGACTCAACAATTCTACTTGTAGGTATATACTCCAGAGAAATAAAAACGTAAGCCCACACAAAAACTGTTACATACATACTCATGGCAGCATTATTCTTAATAGCCATAAAACAGAAACAATCGAAATGTTCATCACCTGATAAACACAATATGGTATATCCATATAAAGGTATTATTCATCAATTAAAAATAAATGAAGTATTGATACATGGTACAACATGGATGGACCTTGAAAACAATCTAAGTCAAGGAGACCAAACTACATATTGTATGATTCCACTTATATGAAATGTCCAGAATAGGCAAATTTATAGAGATAGAAAGTAGATTAATGGTTATCTAGGCTGGGCGCGGTGGCTCATGCCTGTAATCCCAGCACTTTGGAAGCCCAAGGTGGGCAGATCATGAGGTCAGGAGTTTGACACCAGTCTGGTCAACATAGTGAAACCCCGTCTCTACTAAAAATACATAAAATTAGCTGGGTGTTGTGGTGTGTGCCTGTAATTCCAACTACTCGGGAGGCTGAAGCAGGAGAATCACATGAACCCAGAAGGCAGAGGTTGAAGTGAGCCGAGAATTGCACCATTGCACTCCAGCCCGGGTGACAGTGCGGAACTCCATTTCCAAAAAAAAAAAAAAGGTTGCCTAGTGCTGGGGGATATGAGGAGGTTGGAGGATGATGGCTTAGAAGTATAGGGTATCTTTTTGAGGTAATAACAATGTTCTACAACTGCCTGTGGTAATGGTTGCAAAACTCTGTGAATATACCAACAGCCACTAAATTTCAAACTTTAAATAAATCATATTACATGTGAGTTATATATCTCTGTAAAGCTGTTTTTAAAAAAGTCTAGAAGAGGAAGACTGACTCAGGAGCCTCTCTCTCTGCAGGAGAGAAAGCTATCCTCTTTTCTCTTTTGCCTGTTAAACCTCCACTCTTAAACTCAAAAAAACCCCAAAAAAGTCTAGAAGAGAATACTGTTTTTTAGTTAGTCTTGTGTGCATGCAGCTTATAAGCATTTGGCTGTTGAAACGGAAAGCTGTAGTACAAGTCAACTGTGGGATTTTTTTTTTTTTTTTTTGGAGACAGTCTCTCGCCCTGTCGCCCAGGCTGGAGTGCAATGGCCGGATCTCGGCTCACTGCAAGCTCTGCCTCCCGGGTTTACGCCATTCTCCTGCCTCAGCCTCCCGAGTAGCTGGGACTACAGGCGCCCGCCACCTCGCCCAGCTAGTTTTTTTTTGTATTTTTTAGTAGAGACGGGGTTTCACCGTGTTAGCCAGGATGGTCTCGATCTCCTGACCTCGTGATCTGCCTGTCTCGGCCTCCCAAAGTGCTGGGATTACAGGCTTGAGCCACCACGCCTGGCCACTGTGGGATATTTAATGCACCACAGACATCTACCCACCACAAAAGGTAACCAGTCAATAACTACCTTTTTTTTTCTTTTAACATTAATCTGCAGAATAAAGGCAAACAGAAAAACTACTGGAAAGGAGTGGTTAATATGCATATCCCCATATTCCCATCTTATGAACCAGCAGGATGATTTGTAAGTAAAAAATTAGGTCAGTCTAAAATCATGATCCACAGATATCTCAGCAAGTTCAGTAAGTCCAAAAACAAAAAAGTGTATCAAAGAACCCTACTGGGCTGAACAGATTAGTCAAATGACACAGAAGGTCAACTCAGCATTTTATACTTACCCTTCCTTCGGCATCAATCATTATTTCTGACATCTTAAAAGTGACTTTAGGATTTGCTGTACCTTTAGAAAGAGACATAAATGAATAGTAATGTTTATCCAAAATTGCTCAAATTAATTTTGCCAGATCAATTCTCTTTACACTTTAGTTAAGTCAAGAATAATGTATAGGTCGGGTGCGGTGGCTCATGCCTGTAATCCCAGTACTTTGGCATGTTGAGGCAGGTGGCTCACCTGAGGTCAGGAGTTTGAGACCACCTTGGCCAACATGGTGAAACTCCATCTCTACTAAAAATACAAAAATTAGCCAGGCATGGTGGTGTGCGTCTGTAATCCCATCTACTTGGGAGGCTGCGGCAGGGGAATCACTTGAACCTGGGAGGCAGAGGTTGCAGTGAGCTGCCATTGCACCACTGCCCTCCAGCCTGGGTAACAAGAGCGAGACTCCATCTCAAAAAAAAAAAAAAAGAAAGAGATATAAATGAATAGTAATGCTTATCCAAAATGACTCAAATTAATTTTGCCAGATCAATTCTCTTTACACTTTAGTTAAGTCAAGAGTAAAGTATATGCCAGGCACAGTGTCTCACGCCTGTAATCCCAGCACTTTGAGAGGCCAAGGCAGGCGGATCACTTGAGCTCAGGAATTCAAGACCAGCCTGGCTCACATGGTAAAACCCCATCTCTACAAAATATACAAAAATTAGGCAGGGCGCAGTGGCTCACGCCTGTAATCCCAGCACTTTGGGAGGTCGAGGCAGGTGGATCACCTGAGGTCAGTGTGAGACCAGCCTGACCAACATGGTGAAACCCCATCTCTACTAAAAATACAAAAATTAGCCAGGCGTGGTGGCACGCACCTGTAATCCTAGCTACTCAGGGGGCTGAGGCAGGACAATTGCTTGAACTTGGGAGGCGGAGGTTGCAGTGAGCTGAGATCGCGCCACTGCACTCCAGCCTGGGCGACAGAGCGAGACTCTGTCTCAAAAAAACAAACAACACGAAAAAAACGGCTGGGTGCGGTGGCTCACGCCTGTAATCCCAACACTTTGGGAGGCTGAGGCAGGTGGATCACGAGATCAGAAGTTCGAGACCAGCCTGGCCAACATGGTGAAACCCTGTCTCTACTAAAAATACAAAAATTAGCCAGGCATGGTGGCAGGCACCTGTAATCGCAGCTACTTGGGAGGCTGAGGCAGGAGAATCACTTGAACCTGGGAAGCGGGGGTTATAGTGAGCCGAGATCGCGCCATTGCACTCCAGCCTGGATGACAGAGCAAGACACTGTCTTAAAAAAGTAAAATAAAAATAAGGGGCTTGCCCATCAACCAACAAGTGGATTTAAAAAATGTAGTATATATACAACAACATGGAATACTACTCAACCACAAAAAGGAACAAAATAATGGCATTCACAGCAACCTGGATGGAGCTGGAGACCATTACTCTAAGTGAAGTAACTCAAGAATGGAAAACCAAGTATCATTGCTCTCACTGATAAGTGGGAGCTAAGCTATGAGGACACAAAGGCATAAGAATGATATAAAGGACTCTGGGGACTCCAGAGGAAGGGTGGGAGGGGGGTGAGGAATAAAAGACTACATATTGGGTACTGTGTACACTGCTTGGGTGATGGGTGCACCAAAATCTCAGAAATCACCACTAAAGAACTTATCCATGTAACCGAAAACCACCTGTTCCCCAAAAACTATTGAAATAAAATTTTAAAAGAATAAAAAAAAAAAAAAACCCAGGCTGAAAAGAGTCCGAATGAAATAAAGTGAAAATATGTATTATTTTCACAATTGAAATGCTGTAAGAAGGAAAATGGGGAAAAAAATCACTTATTATGAACAGTATCACTTAAAAATCTGTATTTGCTAGCAAAGACACCTTCTCCTTTTTCTTTTTTTTTTTTGAGACAGACTTTTACTCTTGTTGCCCAGGAAGGCAATGGTGTGATCTCGGCTCACTACAACCTCTGCCTCCTGGGTTCAAGCAATTATTCTGCGTCAGCCTCCCAATTAGCTGGGATTACAGGCAGGCACCAAAATGCCTGGCTAATTCTGCATTTTTAGTAAAGATGGAGTTTCACCATGTTGGTCAGGCTGGTCTCAAACTCCTGACCTCAAGTGATCCACCCGCCTCAGCCTCCCAAAGTGCTGGGATTACAGACATGAGCTACCATGCCTGGTCCAAAGATACCCTCTAATTCATTCCTTGAGGAAATCAATTATGTGGACATCCCTACCTTTGAAAAGAATAAAAAACGATCACTCTTTAATTCAAAATCTATTTTTGTGATACCCAGTGAACAACCCATCATAAATAAGGCTGGAAATGACCAATGTCATTGACTACACCTTTGGATGACTACAGAATCTTATTTGGAAAGAGGAAATGAGTGAATATAAATGCCAATGGAGTACAGTACCTGTTTTAGGATAACGGAATGAATCTGCCCTCCTTGTTTCCAGCATAGGGGATGTAACATGAATAATTTCCACCTCAGATTCATCATTTTCTTCATATAGAATTCTAAGAATTTTACCACCACTGGGAGCTTAAAAGAAATTTAGATATTGAAAATTTAGAATAATTATTCCAGAAAGTAGTCATAACCAACCGTTCCTTCTAGTATCAGATTTCTTATAGTGAAGAATAACTTATGTATAAAATACGCTACCTGTTTTGTAGGAAAATATCACTAGTCTTTGTAGCAGCAAGGTGAGTTATTGTTAAGCCACTTCTTTTGGAGGGAAAACAACTGGAGATGATATGTATACATATTTTTAAAACAGGGAAAAACATTTTTGAAGGACTTCATTCTTACATACCATAAAATGCATTCTTTGTTGAAAAATGAAATACTTAATTACATTTATAATATTTCCCATTAAAAACATAAATACTAAATACAGTTCAGTTATTTTGAATAGTTTCTCTATTCATGTCAAAATCGTGTTCTAACAAATACAACAAAACATTTCACATCTTAAAATAAAATGTCCAAATCCAAGACATGGCTTACAAGTATTTTTCAGGGTCTCTTAGAGATGCATTCAGACTGCTAGCTCCAAACCATGAGTAGGTCATGAAATCTATTAATGGGTCACAATCAGTATTTTTAAAAATATAACACACAAACCACACCCTGGGCAACATGGTAATACTCCATCTCTACAAAAAAATATAAAAATTAGCTGTGTGTAGTGGCTTGCGCCTGTAGTCCCAGGTACTTGGGAGGCTGAGGTGAGAGGATTGCTTGAGCCCGGGAGGCAGAGTTTGCAGTGAGCTGAGTTTGCACCACTGCACTCCAGCCTGGGCAACAGAGACCCCGCCTCAAAAAAAACAAAACAAAAAACCCCAAAACAAAAAAACCCAACATAACAGTATCAGGGAGTATTACACATAAGAATAAGTATTGCGGCCGGGGGCAGTGGCTCACTCCTGTAATCCCAGCACTTTGGGAGGCCGAGGTGGGTGGATCATGAGGTCAGAAGATTGAGACCATCCTGGCTAACACGGTGAAACCCCGTCTCTACTAAAAATGCAAAAAATTAGCCGGGCGCAGTGGCGGGCGCCTGTAGTCCCAGCTACTTGGGAGGCTGAGAGGCAGGAGAATGGCTTGAACCGGGAGGCGGAGCTTGTAGTGAGCTGAGATTGCGCCACTGCACTCCAGCCTGGGCGACAAGAGAGAGACTATGTCTCAAAAAAAAAAGAATAAGTATTGCTTCTTGAAATTTGTTTTCAGTTTTATCTATACAGTATATGTATTAGGCCACAATACAAGTACACTTCTAACTGGATCATGGTCAAAAAGTTTGAAAGCCAAGCTTTAGTGAGCTGTTTCTCAGAGAGTGAGGTATTTGTGAATTTGCCCCAAGAAAGGGAGGAATTTGTTCCCTTTTATCCTATCCATTCATACACTGATTTGATCATCTGTTTAACAGACTCTCTAGTCAAATTTTTATAGCAACACATTAAGGTGTGTTTTTTTGTTTGTTTGTTTTTCAGACTGAGTCTCGCTCTGTCGCCAGGCTGGAACACAGTGGCACGATCTTGGCTCATTGCAATCTCCACCTCCCAGGTTCAATTGATTCTTTTACCTCAGCCTCCCGAGTAGCTGGGACTACAGGTGTGCACCGCCACACCCAGCTAATTCTTTGTATTTTAGTAGAGATGGGGTTTCACCATGTTGGCCAGGATAGTCTCGATCTCCTGACCTCATGATCCGCCCGCCTCAGCCTCCCAAAGTGCTGGGATTACACGTGTGAGTCACTGCGCCTGGCCAAGGTGTGGTATTTTTTATTTTGCCACCAATGCTGCCAGCATTACCAAGATCAGCCTTTAGGAGAAAAACTGGCAAAGCGAATTGAGGGGCCAGAGGCATTAAACCACAATACAATTGTTTTTACTAGACTTCATTATGATGAAATATAATCTACATTTTTTTTTTTTTTTTTTGAGACGGAGTCTCACTGTGTCGCCCAGGCTGGAGTGCAGAGGCACGATCTCGGTTCACTGCAAGCTCCGCCTCCCAGGTTCACATCATTCTCCTGTCTCAACCTCCCTGTAGCTGGGACTACAGGCACCCGCTAATTTTTTTTTTTTTAATTTTTAGTAGAGACGGGGTTTCACTGTGTTAGCCAGGATGGTCTCGATCTCCTGACCTCGTGATCCACCCGCCTCGGCCTCCCAAAGTGCTGGGATTACAGGCGTTGAGCCACTGCGCCTGGTCATAATCTACAGATTTTTGAGACAGAGTTTCGCTCTCAGTGCCCAAGATGGAGTGCAATAGTACGATCTCAGCTCACTGCAACTTCCGTCTCCTGGGTTCAAGCGATTCTCCTGCTTCAGTCTCCCGCGTAGCTGGGATTACAAGTGCGTGCCACCACGCCCCGCTAATTTTTTGTATTTTTATTAGAAATGGGGTTTCACCATGTTAGCCAGGCTGGTCTCGAACTCCTGACCTCAGGTGATCCGACTGCCTCAGTCTCCCAAAGTGCTGGGATTACAGGTATTAGCCACTGCGCCTGGCCTAAACTATATATTTTAAGTAACTACTGGCATGAATCAATCATCATCACTTTGGAATCTATTATCCACTTTCAAATCTATTAACCAAGATTTAGAATCTGCACTTAACTGACAGTTGAATCTTATAATACTTTAAAATGATCCATAATACATTATTTGAACCCCCTTACTTGTTTCAGCTTTCGGACACCACCAATAGCCAGAATATCTATCAAATTCTTCTTGGAGAACAAAGGTAGCAACTCCAGCTGATCTGGCATCTTCTTCCATGTTGGCTAGCTCTAGACAAATATAAAAGGCAAAATTACCACAGAAAGCTATCTTTTCATACGTACAAAACAAAATGATTCCGTTTATTTGGAAAGGTAGCTGGAGTACAGTGGTAAACCCTGGAGTTAAATGGACTGAGTTCAAATCTGGGGTCCATCATTTACATACTGTCTGACTTTGGGCAAATCATTCAATCTCATTCCACTGCATTATCCCATTTGTAAATGAGAATAAAAGGCTACCTTGTGAGGCTGATATGAAGATTAAATTAATTAATTCACATAAAGCACTTAGAACAAAGCCTGGACCACAGTACATGCTCCAAATAAATGTTATTATTTTCCCAATTAGCAGGATCATGGAAAAAAGATTACACGTAAAGGAGCAGAGTATAGGGGACACTTGCAACTCTCCTACACAGAGAAGTATTCTTAGACCTAGAGTGAATCTTATAGGTCATATAATTCAACCATTCTTCTTTCATCTCATTCAGTTGGAGCAGCCCAGCTTTCATCTGTTTTACACTTAGGTTTCCAGCGAATAGTTTGAAGGGGACTCTTGTTTTAAAAGAAAACCACAAAGCCATAATTATATAAGATTTTGAGGCCAGGCGTGGTGGCTCACGCCTGTAATCCCAGCACTTTGGGAGGCCGAGGGGAACAGATCACAAGGTCAGGAGTTTGAAACCAGCCTGGCCAATATGGTGAAACCCCGTCTTTACTAAAAATACAAAACTTAGCCAGGCATGCTCCTACTTGGGAGGCTGAGGCAGAAGAGTCGCTTGAACCCGGGAAGTGGAGGTTGCAGTGAGCCAAGATCATAACACCACTGCCCTCCAGCCTGGGTGACAGAACAAGACTCCATCTCAAAAAAAAAAAAAAAAATTGTGTCATGAGGACATGTTTACAATATACTTGAATAAAACAAATCAGATTACTGAATAGCATTTACACTGTGATTCATTTATAAAAATGTTATAAAAATGCATTTTAAAAAAGTGCTGATATAAGCTGAAATATGATTATCTCCAAGTAGTAAGATTTCGAGGTTTTTAAAAATTGCTTTATAATTTATGAATTCTTAAATGTACTATTTTTGAAAAATACATATATGACCACACTCCTATCCCCACTTACACTTCCAGTACCCAAGGATGTTTTCTCATGCTCCTTCCCAGTCAAGGCCCAGCCCCGACCCAGAAACAATCACTGATCTGATTTCTATCACCAGAGGTTACGTTTGCATATTCTAGAATTTCATGTAAATGAAATCATACAGTATATATATACTTGTGTTTGGATTCTTTTGAGTTTCATCAATATTGTTACATGTGTCAATAGTTAATTCCTGTTTATTGCTGAGTTGTATTCCATTGCATACCATAGTTCTTTTATCTGTTAATGGATATCTTGCCTGTTTCCAGTTTCTGGCTATTATGAATAAAGATGCTATGAACATTATTACCGTGTAAGAATTTTTGTGGGCCAGGCGTAGTGGCTCACACCTGTAATCCCAACATTTTGGGAGGCTGAGGAGGGCAGATTGCTCGAGCTCAGGAGTTTGAGACCAGCCTTGGCAACATAGCAAAACCCCGCCTCTATAAAAAATACAAAAATTAGCCAGGTGTGATGGCAGGTGCCTATGGTCCCAGTTACTTGGGAGGCTGAGGTAGGAAAATCACTTGAGTCCGGGAGGAGGAGGATGCAGTGAACCAAGATCACGCCACTGCACTCCAGCCTGGGTGACAGACTGAGATCATGTCTCAAAAAAGAAAAAAAAAAGGGAATTTTTGAGAACATGTGTTTTTGTTTCTTCTAAGTAAAATACCTACGAGTAATAAGGCTGGTTAGTGTCGTAAGTGTATGTTTAACTTCATAAGAAAGTACCAAACAGTTATCCAAAGTATTTCTATTATTTTACACTCTTACTATTGAAGTATGAAAGTTCTTCTCCAACATTTGGTGTTCTCAATATTTCTCACTTTAGCCAGTCTAGTAGGCATTACATATCTCATAGGGACTTTAATTTTTATTTTATTTTTGAGACAGGGTCTCGCTGTCACCAAGGGTAGAGTGCAGCGGTGAGATCTCAGGTCACTGCAGCCTTCATCTCTGGGTTCAAGTAATCCTCCTGTCTCAGCCTCCCAAGTAGCTGGGACACAGGCATGTGTCACTAAGCTCAGCTAATTTTTAAAAAAAATTTTGTAGAGATGAGGTCTCATTATGTTTCCCAGGTCTCATTATGTTTCCCAGCTCAAACCCCTGAGCTCAAGTAATCCTCTCACCTTGGCCTCCCAAAGTGCTAGGATTACAGGTATGAGCCACTGCACCTGGCCTGATTCTAATTTTACAGGCAAGTTTTATTATTTTTGCTTATCTATATTTTCTATATAGTGTGATATAATGTACAGTACCAACCAATGATTTGTTTATCCAAAAAGTTTGAATACAAAAAGAAATATTTGGAATTCAGAATTTGGGAGATATTTCTTTTCTGTCATTTTCTTTCTTTCCCTCTCTCTCTTCCCTCCCTCCCTCCCTCATCTTTTTTTTTTTTTTTTAGACAGAGTTTCGCTCTTGTTGCCCATGCTGGAGTGCAATGGCGCCATCTCGGCTCACCGCAACCTCCACCTCCTGGGTTCCGAGTAGCTGGGATTACAGGCATGTACCACCACCCCAGCTAATTTTGTATTTTTAGTAGAGACGGGGTTTCTCCATGTTGGTCAGGCTGGTCTTGAACTCCCAACCTCAGGTGATCCACCCACCTCAGCCTCCCAAAGTGCTAGGATTACAGGCATGAGCCATCGTGCCTGGCCAAGATTTTTCATATATTGTACATCTACCATAATACATTATGTAGTATCTCCAGCAGGGAAACCAAATACCTTGTAATCAAATACACCAATATTCCGCAGCAAACTTATGAATAGGCACACTATGTAGGTAAGCATATTAAGTTTATAAATATCCTCAGGTTACTTCAGGTCAGGTGTTACTACCAAATGAGTTTTAGTAACAACCTAATGAAAACTAAGCTCAGTTTTCAAAGTGTTTTGAATTTTGGAATTAATGATAGAGCCAAGACTATGAAGATAAGTAACCCTCATTTGTATCTTCTTACTGTTTATTATAGACTTCCATTATTATTTATTAAATGAATAAATAGTATCATCTCATCCTCTCAGTAAGTCATTTGAGAGCAGAAACTAGGATTTTACTACTTTTTAAATTCCTCTATCACCAGGCAAAGAATAAACACATGTGCATACTGATTGACCAAATCCATCTCAAGTGGACTTTCACTTAGAAACCTATTGTGAGTGAAATAAGCTGATGACATTAACTCCCTACCTACTTTCTATCTGAGCACATACTTATACAACACTTACTATGTTTCAGGCACTATCCTAAATACTTCATATATATTAACTCATTAAAGCCTCATAACAACCCTATGTTGATGTGCTATTAACATCTGTTTTATAGATATGGAAACAAAGAGATGGGTTAAATAACCAAGGCCGCACAGTTAATAAATGGTAGACTTGAAATTCAAACTAGTTCTGCATTCTTTTTTTTTTTTTTTTTTTTTTTTTTAAGAGACAGGGTCTCTCTCTTTCATCTGCCACCAAGGCTGGAGTGCAGTGGTGCAACTACAGCTCACTCCAAGGCTGGAGACCAGTGGTGCAACTGAGCCTGACTTCCCAGGCTCAAGTGATCCTCCCACCTAGGCTCCCAGAGTAGCTGAGAAACAGGCGCATGACACCATGTCTGGGTCATTTTTATTATTTTTTATTTTTTTGTAGAGAAAGGGTCTCCCCCTACGTTGCCCAGACTGGTCTTGAACTCCTGGGCTCAAGTGATCTTCCCACCTTGGCTTCCCAAAGTGCTGGGATTACATACATGAGCCACTTCACCAGGCTCTACCTGTATTCTTAACTACTCTATTAATCCTGAAAATACACCGCATACCTACATACAACATGATAAAGAATAAAAACACTAGTATAATGTCCTGCAGGATTCCAGTGCTTTCCATTTTAAATTCTGCCAATCTTCACAAATCCTGTGGAAAACAATTTTACAGAAGAAAAAAAATTACTAAAAATGCCTTAACTCTAACAGTTATATCACAGCTTTGCAGTCTCAGTCTCAAGCACAATAACTGGTACATAGCAAGCGTCCAGTGTTTGCTGAAACATGAAAAAATGGGCTGGATTTGTTGGCTCATGCCTATAATCCCAGCAATTTAGGAGGCTGAGGTGAGAGAATCACTTGAGTCAAGGAGTTCAAGACCAGCCTTAACAACACAGGGAGACCTTGTCTCTACAAAAAAAGTTAAAAATTAGGCAGGCATGGTGGCACACACCTGTACTCTCAGCTATTCAGGGGTGCTGAGATGGGAGGATTGCTGGAGCCCCGTTAAGACTGCAGTGAGCCAACAGGAGACCCTGTTTCAAAAAAATGGAAAAAAAAAAAAAAAAAAAAAAGGCATGAAAATATGGCTTGCATTTCCAAAACAGATTTATTAACTACCAACGTAATCTTTCTACTGCCATTGGTAGTAGAACAGCTGTTCTGATTTCCTGACTTCAAAGGGAGATCTATTAAACGCCAAAATCTGTACTTTTAACTTAAGGTTTTCCCTACTCCATCCCTTTGTCTCTATCCTATGCTCTAGATTTAGGCCATATAACTTGGATAACTGCAAAAGTCAAGCTTTGGTGTTCCTGTCTCTACCCATGTTTCATGAATTTAACTTCCACAAAGTATCCAGAGCAACTTATGGACAACATGATGATTATGATCACACAACTGTTAAAAACTTTTCCATGGACCCTCATATCATGATAAAGTCCATGTTCATTTACAGAAAATATGGTCTACCCTTGTCCTGGCCCTTATCTGCCAGTCTTTTGCTACTTCTTGACTCAGAACTTATGCTTCAGGACCTTCACACTGCTTCTACCTCCTCACAAACACCATGATGTCTTTTGCATCAAGACCTTTCTCATGTAGTCGCTTTGTCAGGAGTGTACTGGATAATATATAGACATTACTTAGGATCAGTTTAGGTGTCATCTTTTCTGGAAAGCCTTCCCTGACCACTTTCCCACATTAGAGCTCTTATAAAACCCTATGTCTGGCCAGGTGCCGTGGCTCACGCCTGTTCTCAGCACTTTGGGAGGCGGAGGTGGGCGGATCACTTGAGGTCAGGAGTTCAACACCAGCCTGGCCAACATGGTGAAACCCCGTCTCTACTAAAAATACAAAAATTAACCAGGTGTGGTGGCATGCACCTGTAATCCCAGCTACTCATGAGGCTGAGGGATGAGAATCACTTGAACCCAGGAGGCAGACGTTACAGTGAGCTGAGATAACGCCACTGCACTCCAGCCTGGGCAATAGAGCGAGACTTTGCCACAAAAAACAAACAGGCTGAGCACAGTGGCTCATGCCTATGATCCCAGCACTTTGGGAGGCCGAGGTGGGTGTATCACAGGATCAGAAGATTGAGACCACCCTGGTCAACATGGTGAAACTGTCTGTACTAAAAATACAAAAAAAATTAGCCAGTAATCCCAGCTACTCGGGAGGCTGAGGCAGGGGAATCAAGTGAACCCAAGAGGCGGAGGTTGCAGTGAGCAGAGATCGCACCCTTGCACTCCAGCCTGGGTGACAGAGTGAGACTCTGTCTCAAAAAAAAAAAGAACAAAAAAAAACCAAACTTGAGAGAATATATATCATTTTGTTTTCCTACCTGTAACATATCTGTTAACAATGACTTTCTTTTTTTTTGAAGGAGTCTCGCTCTGTCACCCAGGCTGGAGTACAGTGGCACCATCTCAGCTCACTGCAAGTTCCACCTCCCGGGTTCACACCATTCTCCTGCCTCAGCCTCCCGAGTAGCTGGGACTACGGGCGCCCGCCACCACGCCCGGCTAATTTTCTGTATTTTTAGTAGAGACAGGGTTTCACCATATTAGCCAGGATGGTCTCGATCTCTTGACCTCGTGATCGCCTGCCTCAGCCTCCCAAAGTGCTGGGATTACAGGTGTGAGCCACCACACCTGGTCTGTAATTAATTTTAACTAATGATTGATGATGATGAGGGGATAATGATTAAGAAAGATGACAGTAAATCAGCTTTGTGAACGTAAGATTAAGCAAAAGTTAGACAAAAGAATTTTCAGTCTTCATCTTCATTATGGTACTTAATCTTTTTTTTTTTTTTTTTTTTTTTTGGAGACAGAGTCTTGCTCTTTGGTCCAGGCTGGAGTGCAGTGGCCAGATCTCAGCTCACTGCAAGCTCTGCCTCCAAGGTTCACGCCATTCTCCTGCCTCAGCCTCCCGAGTAGCTGGGACTACAGGCGCCCGCCACCTCGCCCGGCTAGTTTTTTGTATTTTTTAGTAGAGACGGGGTTTCACCGTGTTAGCCAGGATGGTCTTGATCTCCTGACCTCGTGATCCACCCGTCTCGGCCTCCCAAAGTGCTGGGATTACAGGTTTCAGCCACCGCGCCCGGCCCATTATGGTACTTAATCTTAAACTCTGTTTCACGTGTTCAAAGAAAAAGCAATACACTATTTCCCATCTTTCATTTGTATGAAACCTTTAGAGGAAACCACAGCTTTCTGTGCTTTGAATACTGCTTAGTATTATCATAGCCACTTCGATAAAACTTAATTAAATATTCCCACAATATACATAGTTCTACAAAGTTCTACTTTTCCTATTATGACGATAACTAAGTAGGCTCTCCGAAACTGAAGGATAAATTTTTTTTGAGACAGGGTCTCACTCTGTCACCCAGGCTGGAGTGCAGTGGTGCAACCATGTCTCACTTTAGCCTCAACCTCCTAGGCTTGAGTGATCCGCCTGCCTCAGCCTCCTGAATAGCTGGGACTACAGGCATGTGCCACCACATCCAGCTAATTTTTTTTTTTGGTAGAGACAAGGTCTTACTATGTTGCCCAGGCTTCCCCCGTCTCAGTCTCAAGTAGTTTTATTTTATTTTATTTTATTTTATTTTATTTATTTGAGACAAGGTCTTGTTCTCTTGCCCAGGCTGGAGTGCAGTGGCGCGATCTCAGCCACTGCCACCTCCGCCCCCCAGGTTCAAGTAATTCTCCTGTCTCAACCTCCCTAGTAGTTGGGATTTACAGGCACGCACCACCATGCCCGGCTAATTTTTGTATTTTTAGTAGAGACAGAGTTTCACCATGTTGGCCAGACTGTCTAGAACTCCTGACCTCAGGTGATCCACCTGCCTTGGCCTCCCGAAGTGCTGGGACTACAGGCATGAGCCACCATGCCTGGCCTCAAGTAGTTTCTTAGAGTGTGTAATTGGTTTTTCTATCTGTTTCTCAAAAACAAAACTTATTTATTTATTATTATTTTTTTTTTTATTTTTGAGACAGTCTCACTCTGTCGCCCAGGCTGGAGTACAATGGTGCAATCATGGCTCACCACAGCCTCGACCTCCTGGACTCAAGTGACTCGTACCTCAGTCTCCCAGGTAGTTAGAATTACACACGCCACTATGCTCAGCTAATTTTTTGTATTTTTTTGGCAAACAGGGTGTCACCATGTTGCCCATCCTGGTCTTCAACTTCTGGGCTCAAACAATCTACCTGCCTCAGCCTCCCAGAGTCCTAGGAGACACCATGCCCAGCCTAAAATTTTATTTTAATAACAAGAGTTCTATGAAAATTCTGGCAGTCTTATTAGGCTAAAAGAACAATCATGTCAGAGGTTCTTTTGTTGCACTGTTTGAAAATGAACATTAAGATAAAGCAGTATTATACATGTGGTACATACCAGTTATCCTCTGTACTTTTCTCTATTTTTAAAAAATTTTAAAGACTTGAATTTCAAACACAAAGATCACCCAGCTTGGTGATCTAATGTCAAAATGCAAGAAGCAAATTATACTTCAAAAAATACTGTTCAGAAAAGTAAATTTGAAGAACTATGCCTTACCATTGTGCACATAAGTGAGTCTCCTTTCTTCTCTGGTTACGATGTTAGATATCCAAATATCATTGCTATGTATAAAAGCAATCCAGTCTGGATCAGCAGGGCATAATTTTGGATCCATCCGTATGTTGGGACAACTAGTTTCCACTAAATTGGGCCTTAAAGGTTGTTGCTAGAAAAGTAAACAACATTCTAAGGTAAATATCAGGCTGACACATACATGTTCCAGCACGCTTCCTATATGAAGAAGAATATTTCTAGGTAAAATGTCAACAATGAGGCCAGGCGTGGTGGCTCACACCTGTAATCCCAGCAGTTTGGGAGGCCAATGCAGGCGGATCACCTGATGTCAGGAGTTCAAGATCAGCCTGACCAACACAGTGAAACTGCATCTCTACCAAAAATACAAAAATTAGCTGGGCGTCGTGGTGGGCACCTATAGTCCCAGCTACTTGGGAGGCTGAGGCAGGAGAATCGCTTGAACCCGGGAGGCAGCTATTGCAGTGAGCCAAGATAGTGCCACTGCACTCCAGCCTGAGTGACAGAGAGACTCAGTCTCAGGAAAAAAAAAAAAAAGTCAACAATGATCATTGCTTCCCAGAAAAATATACTTTCCATTGCCTTAACTTACCAGAAAGGACTCATTTTTTTACTTTGAAAGAAAAAGCTAAGGGTAATAGGAGAGGACGTAAAGACAATAAAACAGTACTTCATAAATTTTGTTGCCCCAACCTGCCCCAATACCTCTTAAGAGTATTTACTGTTCATTAAACATTGTTATTGAACACTTATTCATCAAATATTTTATTAAATATTTTAAAATTATTTTTACCAATATAAAATAGTTTGCTGATAAAAATGTAATAGAAGCCAGGATCATCACAATTCTCTCAAGAGTTCCTAAAGCTCATAATGAATTGCCTAGAATAAAACCAAACATAAGCCACTTCAGAGGCTGAGGCAAGAGGATCACTCGAGCCTAAAGTCCAAGACAAGCTGGGGCAATATAGTGGGACCCTCACCTCTAAAAAGAATTTTTTTAAATTAGTCGGGTGTGGCGGCACATATCTATAGCTACCCAGCTACTCAAGGAGGCTGAGGTGGGAGGATTGCTTAAGCCCAGGAGTTTGAGGCTGCAGTGAGCCATGATCTCGCCACTGTACTTCAGCCTGGGTGACAGAGCAAGACTCTCTCCAAAGAAAAAAAAAAAAGTGTGTGCGTATATATATCATTTATTAAGATGAATTAGCTTTCAAGGGAAACAAAAAATTGCCTTGTGATAACGATCTTCCAAAATCTCCTTCAATGCTTACACAGGAAGTGGGAACTAATGCCCTTTACCCTTCTTTTCTTTTTTCTCTCTCTCTCTCTTTTAGGTAGTCTCACTGTCACCCAGGATGGAGGGCAGTGGAACGATCTCGGCTCACTGCAACCTCCATCCAACTCCCGGATTCAAGCAATTCTCGTGCTTCAGCCTCCCGAGTAGCTGGGACAACAGGTACGATTTTTGTATTTTTAGTAGAGACAGGGTTTCACCATGTTGGCCAGGCTGGTCTCAAACTCCTGACCTCAAGTGATCCACCCGCCTCAGCCTCCCAAAGTGCTGGGATTACAGGCGTAAGCCACTACCCATGGCCTACTCTATCTTTCTATACAGCAAGTATTTTTACCACTTTAAAATTTGTATCTTTTTTTTTTTTTTTTGAGACAGGATCTCACTCTGTCATCCACGCTAAAGTGCAGCGGCACAATCTCGGTGCACTACAACCTCTGCCTCCCAGGCTCAAGTGATCCTCCCACCTCAGCTTCCTGAGTAGCTGGGACTACAGGTGCATGCTAGCTTGCCTGGCTAATTTTTGCATTTTTTGTAGAGATGGGGTTTTGCCATGTTTTCCACACTGGTCTGGAACTCCTGGGCTCAAACAATCTGCCCACATCGGCCTCCCAAAGTGCTGGAATCATGGGCGTGAGCCACCGCGTCTGGCCTAAAAATGGCATCTTAATGTAACTAGAAAGATTATTAACTCTTTTGTTTTGAGATAAGGTCTTTGTCTGTCATCTAGGCTGGAGTGCAGCGGCACAATCACAGTTCACTGTAGCTTGTCCTCTAGGCTCAAGCGATCCTCCCATCTCAGACCCCTAAGTAGCTGGGATTAAAGGTGTGCACCACCATGCCCAGCTAAGTTTTTAAAATTTTTTTGTGGAGACACGGGTCTCTCTCTGTTGCCTGATCTGGTTAAAGAAAATTAGCTCCTAAGGCCGGGTATAGTGGCTCACGCCTGTAGTCCCAGCACTTTGGGAGGCCAAACAGGCAGATAACCTAAGGTCGGGAGTTCCAGACCAGCCTGACTAACATGGAGAAACCCCATCACTACTTAAAATACAAAATTAGTCGGGGGCTGTGGTGCATGCCTGTAATCCCACCTACTTGGGAGGATGACGCAGGAGAATCGCTTGAACCCGGGAGGCAGCTATTGGTTGTGGTGAGCCGAGATGGCACCATTGCACTCCAGCCTGGGCAACAAGAGTGAAACTCTGCCTCAAAAAAAAAAAAAAATTAAAAAAAAAAAAAAAATTAGCTCTTAAAATTGGAAACTAATCTCCATGTTTCTTGTTTTCACTGTTATTAAATTGCTTCGTTGGTGGGTAAACTGAAGTTTCTGGTTTGTTTATTAATTACCTTTCTGATTTGGGTGCAAATAACCTTTTAGATCCAAATCAGATTTAACTACTAGCAACTCCAACTTACCGTGAATCCTTGTGGCCCTCCATCTTTTACGTGATAAATTCCACTACCAGCTTGAAACAGAAATGTTCCACTTCCTTGGTGATAATCGTAAGAAGCAATTCCGACTGTTCCAATGCGTTTTCTTTCTCTTAATAGTTCTTCTTCTCGAGAATACATTCCATAGTCCAGTGTTGCCTAATGTGAAAGGAAAGTCACCTATTCCAGTCTTCTGAAAAACCGTCTTTTGCTTTCGGCACTGAAATCCTAGAATCTCCAACATTATTGACTCTACATTTTTTTTTTCAGCCTTCTAATTCACCGAGCACGGTCTACATGTTAAGTGACCCCAAAATTTGCTGGCAACTTTAAGCAGATTAACTTTAGGAAATCTGCTGAAAGATTTCCTAGTAAAGGGTCTTTAGATGATTACTGTATACATTAGAGAACAAGAATAAAGTCTAATCATGTTGGCATTCAAGACTTTCTACAACTTAACTGTAATTTAGTAGCCAGCACACAGTTAAGAGCACAGACTTCTAAGTCAAGTGGTTTGAATCCAAGCTTTGACCCTTCACTAGAAGTCTAACCTTGAGAAAGTAGCTTAATTTATTCAAAAGTAATTGTCTTCATTTTCAAAATAGTAATAAATCATCTACATCAGCTTTGTGAAGATTTAGATAAAATACGTACAATGTTTAGCACAATGACTGACACAGATTAAGCTCTCAAATGTGTCAGCTGTTATTAATACCCTTCCACTATACTAGCAATACTCCTCTTACTAAAACCTTAGAGGTCAAGCTGGTCACATCACTGATCTAAATAAAACTTAATGAGTGGTTTTCTGTCTCCTGGTCTTTGTCTGTTCTACCCCTCTTCCCTGGACTCTTGGAAGAATGCTTTTCTTTCTACCTATCCCAGTTTACTTATACCCCAAAACCTTGCTTGAATTCTTAGCTAGCAAAGTTTTCCAATTTTCCAATTCACTATTTCACAGTGATTTCTTTTTTTTTTTTTTTTTGAGACAAAACTCTCACTCTGTTGCCCGGGCTGGACTGCCGTGGCGTGATCTCAGCTCACTACAACCAGGTGATTCTTGTGCCTCAGCCTCCTGAGTAGGTGGGATTACACGCATGTACCACCATGCCCAGCTAATATTTTGTATTTTTAGTAGAAATGGAGTTTCGCCATGTTGGCCTGGCTGGTCTCAAACTCCTGGTCTCAAGTGATCTGTCCACCTCCGCCTCCCAGCGCTGGGAAAGAAGTGATTTCTTTCATTTATGTCCTAAATTATTTATAGGAGTTACTGTCTGTTACTTATTTAACAATGGTATTGTTTTTCGTTTTTTCAGGATATTTGCTAAGTAAATGGAAAACAAAAAAACTTCAGAGCAGAATCTCTGTGGTTTTCTTTTCCTACTTAAAACATATTTGTTATAATGTCTCTCAAAGAAAGTTTGTGGCTGGGCGTGGTGGCTCGTGCCTGTAATCCTAGTACCTTGGGAGGTCGAGGCAGGTGGATCACCCAAGGTCAGGAGTTCGAGTCCAGCCTGACCAACACAGTGAAACCCCACCTCTACTAAAAATACACAAATCAGCCGAGCATGGTGGTGCGCATCTGTAGTCCCGGCTACTAGGGAGGCTGAGGCAGGAGAATTGCCTGAACCTGGGAGGCGGAGGTTGCAGTGAGCCAAGATCATGCCACCTCACTCCAGCCTGGGTGACAGAGCAAGAATCTGTCTCAAAAAAAAAAAAGAGGCCGGGCGCGGTGGCTCAAGCCTGTAATCCCAGCACTTTGGGAGGCCGAGGCGGGTGGATCACGAGGTCAGGAGATCGAGACTATCCTGGCTAACATGGTGAAACCCCGTCTCTACTAAAAATACAAAAAACTAGCCGGGCGTGGTGGCGGGCGCCTGTAGTCTCAGCTACTTGGGAGGCTGAGGCGGGAGAATGGCGTGAACCCGGGAGGCGGAGCTTGCAGTGAGTCGAGATCACGCCACTGCACTCCAGCCTGGGAGCACAGCGAGACTCCGTCTCAAAAAAAAAAAAAAAAAAAAAAAAAAAAATTATACTTTAAATGTTATTTAAAAAAACATACGCTGACCTAATAGTAGTGGGTTATCAGAACCTATTAACATTAGCGTCACTAAAGTTGGTATACAACCCTTAACTGCTAAATTTGACTGACATTAAAATAAAAAAAGAAAACAAAAATACTTAGTAGTAAATTTAACCAAAGAAGAACAAGATGTGTATAAGGGAAACTGTGAAACACTGTTCAAAGAAAGTAAAGATCTAAATAAATAGAAAGACATCACATATGCATGGATTGGAATACAGTGTAAATGCCTATCAAAATTCCAAAAGCCTTTTTTCCAGATATAGACAAGCTGACCCTAATAATATTCACATAGAATTGCATGAGACACAGAATACTCAAAGCAATCTTGAAACACAATGAAGTTTTTTTTTTGTTTTGTTTTGTTTTGTTTTTTTTGAGGCGGAGCCTTGCTCTGTTGCCCAAGCTGGAGTGCAATGGTGTGATCTCGGCTTACCGCAACCTCTGCCTCCCGGGTTCAAGAGATTCTTCTGTGTCAGCCTTCCGAGTATCTGGGATTACAGGCATGCGCCACCATGCCCAGCTAATTTTGTATTTTTATTAAAGAGGGGGTTTCTCCACGTTGATGAGGCTGGTCTCGAGCTCCTGATCTCAGGTGATCCACCCGCCTCAGCCTCCCAAAGTGCTGGGATTACAGGCGTGAGCCACCGTACCCAGCCTGAAGTATTTCTTTATTTATTATTGATTATTATTTTTTTTTTTTGAGACAGTCTCTCCCTCGGTCACCCTAGCTGGAGTGCAGCGGTGCCATCTCAGCTCACTGCAACCCCTGCCTCCTTGGCTCACGCGATTCTCCTGCCTCAGCCTCACAAGTAGCTGGGACTACAGGCGCCCATCCCACCACACCTGGCTAATTTTCATTTATTATTATTTTTTGAGATGGAGTCTTGCTCTGTCGCTCAGGGTGGAGTGCAATGACACAATTTAAGCTCACTGCAACCTCTGCCTCCCGAGTTCAACCGATTCTCTCACATCAGCCTCCCGAGTAGCTAGGATTACAGGCACCTGCCAACATGCCTTTTAAAAAATATTTTTAGTAGAGATGGGGTTTTACCATGTTGGCTGGGGTGGTCTTGAACTCCTGACTTCAGGTGATCCACCCGCCTCGGCCTCCCAAAGTGCTGAGATTATAGGCATGAGTGACTGCACCCAGCCTGTTCTATATTTTTTTAGTAGAGATGGGGTTTCACCATGTTGGTCAGTCTGGTCTTGAACTCCTGGCCTCAAGTGATCCACCCTCCTTGGCTTCCCAAAGTGCTGCGATTACAGGCATCAGCCACTGTGCCTGGGCCGTTTTAAAAAAAATTGTGGGCCAGGCGCAGTGGCTCACGCCTATAATCCCAGCACTCTGGGAGGCCGAAGTGGGAGGATCACCTGAGGTCAGAAGTTTGAGACCAGCCTACTAAAAAATACAAAATTAGCCGGGTATGGTGGCGCATGCCTGTAATTCCAGCTACTTGTGAGGCTGCGGCAGGAGAATAGCTTGAACCCGGGAGGCAGAGGTTGCAGTGAGCCGAGATTGTGCCATTGCACTCAGGCCTGGGCGACAAGAGTGAAACTCCATTTAAAAAAAAAAAAAAAAGGCTGGGCGTGGTAGCTCACGCCTATAATCCCAGCACTTTGGGAGGCCGAGGCGGGTGGATCACGAGGTCAGGAGATCGAGACCATCCTGGCTAACACGGTGAAACCCTGTCTCTACTAAAAATACAGAAAATTAGCCGGGCGTGGTGGCGGGCGCCTGTAGTCCCAGCTACTTGGGAGGCTGAGGCAGGAGAATGGCATGAACCTGGGAGGTGGAGCTTGCAGTGAGCTGAGATCGTGCCACTGCACTCTAGTCTGGGAGACACAGTGAGACTCCGTCTCAAAAAAAAAAAAAAAAAATTGCAGTAGGGCCAGGCGCGGTGGCTCATGCTTGTAACCCCAGCACTTTGGGAGGCCGAGGTAGGCGGACTACAAGGTCAAGAGATCGAGACCATCCTGGCCAACATGGTGAAACCCTGTCTCTACTAAAAATACAAAAATTAGCTAGGAGTGATGGCTCACGCTGTAGTCCCAGCTACTCAGGAGGCTGAGGCAGGAGAATCAATCGCTTGAACCCGGGAGGCAGAGGTTGCGGTGAGCTGAGATTGTGCCACTGCACTCTAGCTTGAGCTCAGGAAGTTAAGGCTGCAGTGAGCTGTGATCACACACCACTGGACTCCAATTTGGGTGAGAGTGAAACGCTGTCTCAATTTGTTAAAAAAATTGGTATCCTTTAGAGATACATACTGATGTATTTCAGGAATGACATATCTGGTATCTTCTTTAATATCGTCTGAGCAGGGCCAGGCGCGGTGGCTCACACCTGTAATCCCAGCACTTTGGGAGGCCAAGGCAGGCAGATCACGAGGTCAGGAGACTGAGACCATCCTGGCTAACACAGTGAAACCCCGTCTCTACCAAAAATACAAAAAATTAGCTGGGCACGGTGGCAGGCGCCTGTAGTCCCAGCTACTAAGTAGGCTGAAGCAGGAGAATGGTGTGAACCCAGAAGGCAGAGCTTGCAGTAAGCAGCGATGGCACCACTGCACTCCAGCCTGGGCGACAGTCAGACTCTGTCTCAAAACAAACAAAGAAAAAATCTGAGCAGTAGGGGTGGGGGGTTGTGAGGGGAAGTTAGTAGGGCTACAATCAACGCTGATGCCTAAGATTTAATCCTTGTTGAAAATATTTCACATTATTCTACTTTTGCATGCTTTAAAAATTTCCATTATAAAAGTTTAAAAAACTTTTGCCAATTTTTCTATGAGAAAATTATCATTATTTTAGTTAAAGACACTGGTCTTAGAATAAGAAATTTTTTCTGTTTTAAAGAAAAGTCACATGCCTATGTAAAGGGCAAATGTTCATAATAAATAGTTGCAGTGAAAACGATTAGTTGTGGCCAGGTGCAGTGGCTCACACCTGTAATCCCAGTACTTTGGGAAGCTGAGGCGGTGGATCACTTGAGGCCAAGAGTTCGAAACCAGCCTGGGCGACATGGTGAAACCCTGTCTCTACTGAAAATATAAAAATTAGCCAGGCATGGTGGTGTGCACCTATAATTCCACCTACTTGGGAGGCTGAGGCAGGAGAATCACTTGAACCTGGGAGGCAGAGGTTACAGTGAGCTGAGATGGCGCCACTGCACTCCAGCCTGGGTTACAGAGTGAGACTGTGTCTCAAAAAAAAAAAAAAAGAGATTAGTTGTTATGTTTTTTTGTTTTAAATCTCTATGAGAAACAGCACATTCATGTTATTCAATTAACAAATACTTGGCCCAGGTCAGGTGCGGTGGCTCATGACTATAATCCCAGCACTTCAGGAGGCCAAGGTGGGTGGATCACAAGGTCAGGAGATTGAGACCATCCTGGCTAACACGGTGAAACCCCAGTTCTACTAAAAATACAAAATTAGCTGCGCATGGAGGCGCATGCCTGTAATCCCAGCTACCTGGGAGTCTGAGGCAGGAGAATTGCTTGAACTCAGGACGTGGAGGTTGCAGTGAGCTGAGATTACGTCATTGAACTCCAGCCTGGGCAACAAGAGCAAAACTCCATCTCAAAAAAAAAATGATAATAATAAATGAATAAATACTCACTGTAAAAATAGTAATAAGAACCAAAGAAGCAAACGATTGTACTAAAACATTATCTTTGGGGTATTTTCAACAATGTACTTTCTTATCTAAAGATAAAATCAGCCAGGTGAAGTGGCTCACTCCTGTAATTCCAGCACTGTGGAAAGCTGAGGCAGGCAGATTGCTTGAACCCAGGAGTTTGAGACCAGCCTGGACAACATAGCAAGACCCCATCTTATTAAACATATATATATGTTTAAAAACTATTTTAGGCCGGGCGCGGTGGCTCAAGCCTGTAATCCCAGCACTTTGGGAGGCCGAGACGGGCAGATCACGAGGTCAGGAGATCGAGACCATTCTGGCGAACATGGTGAAACCCCGTCTCTACTAAAAAACACAAAAAACTAGCCGGGCGAGGTGGCGGGCGCCTGTAGTCCCAGCTACTCGGGAGGCTGAGGCAGGAGAATGGCGTAAACCCGGGAGGCGGAGCTTGCAGTGAGCTGAGATCCGGCCACTGCACTCCAGCCTGGGCGACAGAGCCAGACTCTCTCAAAAAAAAAAAAAAAAAACTATTTTATATTTTATATTTATATAAAATAGTTTTTAAAACTATTTTATATTTTATATTTATATAAAATAGTTTTTAAAAACAAAAAATAAAGATAAAATATTGGGGGAAATAAAACCCCAACCTTTGATTTTACATAAATGGAATCATACTATTTAGAAGGTAAAACTGAACTTTGTACCTTTATTTTAGTGCTGTTACTGAGCTTTAAAACTACAAAATCAATTACAATATATAAATAAGCCTTTCTGGAAATAATTATCAGTTCTTTTCTGTGAACAGCTCCTTTAAAAAATGTGAGAACTACATAAGTACAAAGTTTATGAAAGGGAAATGCAGTTAAACAGGGAGAAAGCAGTTTAAAAAACTGAATTTTATTATCTCTTAGTTTCATATATCAAGAATTAAATGGAATTTCAGGGTCACACATACAAAAACATAAAAAGTTTTAATTTTTTAAATTTACATCTACTTTAAATATAAAATCCCAACTTTTACATAAATGCAGTATCTGAACACATACACCAAATCATAGGAATAACAACATTTAATCCTACCTGAAAAAGATCCAAAAGAGGCTTCCAAGAGAGCATTAGGACTGCTGCTCTATTGATAGTTTTGGGAATTTCAGAATAAAACAGTGTATTTTCTCTGTTCTCACCAGACATGGCTATAGGAGAAAGCAATCATTTATTATTATTTTTTCGAATAGCATTTTTACGACAGTCACAGTTGCAAGCATATAATGCCTTCTATACACTGCAATATTTTGCACTCTATGGGATTTATAATGAATGTTAACAAGTAGAAGGTGCTTATGCCATACACCATAAAAATTTTCAATAAAACCAAGGCTAGCCTGGCCCAGTACACATGCCTATAATCCCAGCTACTTGGGAGGCTAAGGTGTGAGGATCACTTGAACCCAGGAATTCAAGACAAGCCTAGGCAACATAGCAAGATCCCATCTTAAAACAACAACAACAACAACAAAAAGAAACCTGAGACTTTAAAGAAAAATGCTCAGGTTTCATTCTGGTAATCAGATCTTAGTCCCTCTCAAAATAAACATAAAAGTATGTAAGTTACTGTGTAAAGAAAAGTTAAAGTTAAGTACCATTTTCAGAATTTTTTAAAAATTGTGAGTCCTTTACCAGTTGGCAACAGGCTCATGAGATTCCAATGTAACAACTTCAAATTACTGTTTCTTCCGTTTCTGAAACATTTAAAGTGCTTACTTGGAAACACATAGATTTAACTGAATTCTAGTTTTTATTCATTATAAAAGTTCTGTAGGCTAGGCGTGGTGGCTCATGCCTATAATCCCAGCACTTTGGGACACCAAGGCAGGCAGATCATTTGAAATCAGGAGTTCGAGACCAGGCTGGCCAACATGGTGAAACCCCGTCTCTACGAAAAATACAAAAAAATTAGTTGGGTATGGTGGCATGTTCCTGTAATCCCAGTTACTTAGGTGGCCGAGGCAGAAGAATTGCTTGAACCCAGGAGACAGAGACTGCAATAAGCTGAGATCACACCACTGCACTCCGGCCTGGGCAACAGAGCAAGACTCCATCTCAAAAAAAAAAAAAAAAAAAAAAAAGTTCTGTAACAATAATCGTTAATAAGACCTTTAGGGTTTCCAATAAAAGTATATTAATATTAAAATAACACAGAATCTGGCATCTGATCTGCTGAAAATCTCTTTGTCCTTTATTGGGGAAGGGCGAATGAAAAAGGTCTAAATTAAGCAGAAGTCAAATCAATTCTGTGAAATCATGTGATAACTAGATGGGAAGATAACAGCAGTGTAGAGTGAGTTACATATAAAAGTTACATATAAAAGACTGACAGAAACACTATGGTTATGAAGATGTGAATCAAAGAAAACATAAACAAGGTAAAACAAAGCCTTTCTACTCTAAAAAGGCATTACTGGCCAGGCGTGGTGGCTCATGCCTGTAATCCCAGCACTTTGGGAGGCTGAGGTGGGTGGATCACCTGAAGTTGGGAGCTCGACACCAGCCTGACCAACATGGAGAAACCCTGTCTCTACTAAAAATACAAAATTAGCCAGGCGTGGTGGCACATGCCTGTAATCCCAGCTACTCGGGCGACTGAGGCAGGAGAATCACTTGAACGCGGGAGGCAGAGGTTGCAGTAAGCCGAGATCACTCCACTGCACTCTAGCCTGGGTAACAAGGGCAAAACTCCATCTCAAAAAAAGAAAAAAAGGTATTGCTTCCAACAAGCTGAAGGAGTGAAGGAAGGAAAAAATAAATCACACAGAAATAACAAGAAATCTCCTGGGTGAAAGAGACCCTTGACATGTGTTTCTGAATTATTAATGCCAGCAGAAGGTAGTCTAGGGAAAGGTGTGGTTAACTTCCATGCTAACCCTCATGAGGATGAGCCTCCAAATAACCACATATTTTTTTTATCCTCTTATTTTTCTAATTAGTTTACATTGCCTTTGGAGTAAAAAGTTATATATCCACTGACATTTACTTCAGCACTCAATTTTGTGTAAAATCTACTTTGTAGATTCCCAAGTTGCTCTGTTATAGAATTCTTAAGACTGTGGTCACCCATCAATACCATTCACAATTTTACAAAATGTGATCATATCCTCCTTAACCATTCTCTTTCTAAGAGCCTTCGATCTTAAAATATTAAAAGAAAAATTGGTTTTCTTCTCTCCTCAATAACAGCCATTCCCCACAATCATTTCATTTGCCCCTACCTATATGCTCCTAGTTCCAACTAGGAGCTTTATCCATCACCAGTAAAAATTTCCCCAGTACATTCTATGTTCTGACATAAGCACAAAATGGGCTTTTCTCATGCTTTCCTAATGGTATTTATCGGTCTTTAGAGCTACAGCAGTCAATTTGGTCCCATGTCTTCAGGCAACAGTATCAGTGAGTCCTGTTTCTCTTTAGGATAGCATGACAAACAACAAGAGGCAAAATTAAGCATGCGATAAAGTAAAATGCTAATGTAACAAAATGCTTGTTACTAAATAATAGAGCTTCTTCTAAGCATACCACATTTGGAATAAGGGCTCTCAAAAACGTATAATTTCTTATAAAAGATTTCTGGCCAGGTGTGGTGGCTCATGTCTGCAATTCCAGCACTCTGGGAGGCTGAGGTGGGCACATAGCTTGAGCTCAGGAGTTGGAGACAAGCCTGAGCAACATGGTGAAACCCCATCTCTACCAAAAATACAAAAATTAGCTGGGCATAGTGGTGTGTGCCTATAGTCCCAACTACTTGGGAGGCTGAGATGGGAGGATGGCTTAAGCCTGGGAGGTGGAGGTTGCAGTTAGCCAAGATCACACCACTGCACTCCAGCCTAGGCAACAGAGTGAGACCCCATTTCAAAAAAGGAAAAAAAAAAAAAGGCCGGGTTTGGTGGCTCACGCCTGTAATCCTGGCTGAGGCAGGTAGATTGCCTGAGTTCAGGAGTCCCAGATCAGCCTGAACAATATGGCAAAACCCCTGCCTCTATGAAAAAAAAAAACAAAACATAAATTAGCTGGGCATGGTGGCACACGCCTGTAGGTCCAGCTACTTGGGAGATTGAGGCGGGAGGATCACTTCGGCCTGGGAGGTCAAGGATGCAGTGAGCCAAGATCATGCCACTGCACTCCAGTCTAGATGACAGAGACCCTGTCTCAAAAAATAATAATAATAATTAATAAATAATTAAAAAATAAACAAACGTGGGACAATTCCACAAAGGATTAATTCACTTATTATATAAAAGGCTTCAAATCATTAAGAAAAAGAAACCCTCTTCAGGGGTTGAGTGGAAAAAGAAAAGAACTTTAAAAAAGAAAAAAGAAACCCAACCCAATTAAAAACCAAATATTATAGACTGTGACTGCACAGAAAAGAAATACAAATGGCTTTTTTTTTTCTTTACTTGAAATGAAGTCTCTCGCTCTGTTGTCCAGGCTGGAGTGCAGTGGCACGATCTCAGCTCACTGCAACCTCCACCTCCCAGGTTCAAGCAATTCTCCTGCCTCAGCCTCCCAAGTAGCTGAGATGACAAGTGTGTGCTACTACACCCGGCTAATTTTTGCATTTTTAGTAGAGACGCGGTTTCACCATGTTGGCCAGGCTGGTCTCAAACTCCTGACCTCAAGTGATCCGCCAGCCTCAGCCTCCCAAAGTGCTGGGAATACAGGCATGAGCCACTGCGCCCAGCCACAAATGGCTTTTTAAGCATGTGAAACGATGCTCAACCTCACTCATAAGAGAAATAAAATAAAAACAATGAGAAACTGCTGTTCGCTAATCAGACTGGGAAAGTTAAAAAAGTTTAATTACTCACTATTGGTGTATGCATGGAGAAATAGATAATCTGAGATAATGTTCATGGCAGTATAAACTCTTTGGAAGGGGAGCTCAGTAATATCAATCAAAATTCAAAATATATATACCCTTTTTCCCAGCAATTCCACTCTTAGGAATTAGTTCTACAGGTATATTCACGCATGTGCAAAATGATCTAATATAGTGACATTCACTTCCTCTTCTTTTGTAACAGCAGATCAGAAAAACCGAAATGCCATTACTGGAGGTCTGGTTAAGTAAACTATGGCACAATTATATAATGGAATATTCTGAGTTGTTAAAAAAGAATGAATCCCAGCCTGAGCAACATGGAAAAACTCTGTCTCTACAAAAAAATTCAATAAAGTAGCTGGTTATGGCGGCACGTGAACATTATTAGAGGTCTGGTTAAGTAAAATATGGCACAATTATATAATGGAATATTCTGAAGTTATTAAAAAAAAAATGAATCCCAGCTTGAGCAACATGGCAAAACTCCATCTCTATAAAAAAAAAAAAAATACAAAAAATTAGCTGGCCGTGGTGGCATGCACCTGTAGTCCCAGCTACCAGGGAGGCTGGGGTGAGACTGGGAGGTCAAGGCTGCAGTGAGCCATTAGTGTGCCACTGCACTCCAACCTGGGTGACAGAGTGAGACCCTGTCTCAAAAAAAAAAAAAAAATCTAAAATTATCACATGAACTCATGCAGACATCTTTAATATCTCTATACACATATACATACACACGCACTGCACACGCACACAAATAAATAAAACACACATATGCACACATTCATATAAATGAATAAAACTTATACTGGAAAAATTTTGGAGGAAGGGAAGGAACCTATCTTTAAAATTTTAACCAACAAGATAGTAAATCAGTAGATTAACATATTTAATTTAGGCAGACATTAAATCTGCAGTGACTGGACTTGGGAAGAAGAGACCAAAAACAACCTTGGATTAAAAAAACAAAAGCAGCAGCTGTTGAGTGGGAACAAACTAATGGTTTTATTGTTTGTTTTCCTAATCAGACCATCTAAAGAAACGCATTTCAAGCTAGCTTTAGGAAGAAGCAATTTCTGGCATCTTTGATTTTGAAAAATGATCATGATCAATTCATGGTTTGTTACCTACAAGTAAAAATAAAGTTAATGCAATGTAACAAAATCAAATTCTTCAAATTAAAAGGTTTTTTCCTTTAATGGAACCAAAAGTCGCTAATTTATTTATTCATCAAACTTTGAGTGTCAATTATATCTAGAGTTAAGTTTGACTTAAGAGATCATTTTCTCTCAGAAACTATGACTTTGTACTCACCAAGGTAATAGATTCTGTCTGAATGAGGCCCATCTGGATCATTCCTCTTCACAAACATGAAATCATGTGGTGCCTTAGCCATCATGTAGCCATGATATTTTCTGGTATCAGCAAGCAGCTTTTTAAGCTGACTCCAGGAATACCGCTCAACATAAAACGGCTCCAATTTAGGCCGATCCTGTGATTCAATATTCTCCTCACAGTCTGCAGTTTCAAATATCTCAACACCCAGCTGTTCTGTTTCCATTGCTGCTGCCATGTTGCATTTTCCTAGAAAAACAAGGCACATGAAGCTGTTCACAGGTCTGTCTTCTATTATCAGAATGATTCTCTGATAGGTTCAAAAAAAAAAAGCGGGGGGAGTGGGGAGGGCAAGAAAAAAATTCTTTTTAGCACAGCTGCAATGAAACCTAGTAAGAAAAGCAATAGCTCTCCCTTCCGTGTTCAGTTTAAAAATGAAATTAAAAGAAAAATTGAGGTCAGGTCTACTTCGCAGTGCCTATAAATCCCTTTGGTAACTTTTATAAAAGGCTCTCCTTAGGTATTTCTTGCCAAAACTCCCTTTTCTTTCCCACATTGGAAGGAAACAGGCCATTTGCCAGTTGGCTGCTATGCTCCACCCAAGAGCATGTCAATAGCGAAGCTAACTCTGCCAAGGAAGCTAAGTGTTTTGCATTTTAAAAAGTAACACATTTGGTAAGCGTGGATTTTTTTCAGCTAACAGAAATAACCACAACTAATAAGAACGGTAATAAAAATGTCAAAAATAACATGCATGTAATAACCTTCCTAGGATACTTCTCCAAGATAATATATTGTTTCCTTTTAAACAGAAAGCCAAACAAAACACTTGACTGGCTGGTACATTTTTGAGTCTTCTGCCCTTGCCTATACATCACTATCATCTTCATTTGTGGTGACTCTACTTTTTTTTTTTTTTTTTTTTTGAGACGCAGTCTTGCTCTCTTATCCAGACTGGAGTGCAGTGGGACCATCTTGGCTCATTGCAAGCTCCACCTCCCAGGTTCATGCCATTCTCCTGCCTCAGCCTCCCGAGTAGCTGGGACTACAGGCGCCTGCCACCACGCTCGGCCACTTTTTTGTATTTTTAGTAGAGATGGTGTTTCACTGTGTTAGCCAGGATGGTCTCAATCTCCTGACCTCGTGATCCGCCCACCTCAGCCTCCCAAAGTGCTGGGATTACAGGCATGAGCCACCGCGCTCAGCCTGGTGACTCTATATTTTAAGGAAACATATGACTATTCTTACCAATCATACAACATATACTGATTAAATGGCAGAAAAAAAAGATACTATCTTAAAGTGGTTTTAATTAGCTGAAGTTGTTGATACAGAAAGCACTTAATATTTGTACCAACAGTATTTTGGTAAAAGCATAAACTGAGGTTTACCAGTTCAACCCCTACTGTTTGTTAATATTTCATCTGCTAATAATGTTTATTCTCATTTCACAAATCCAGAAGTTGCATTTCTCCTTTATCTTTTCCAACATTTAACACGAGCGAAGTATCAAATAACAAAAAGTGTTATCATAAACCAGTGGGTATTCTAACATATTCTAACATATATTATTCATGACATTGCCAAAAAGAAGGAACATAAAAATTCTGGGCAATCTGCTCTTTTTGAACTAATAAATGTCAAAGACATGTGGACTTGGGAGATAAACTAAATTGCATTTATGTAACCCAACTTAACATATCAACTACTTCTACAATAATAAATACAAGGCTGTACATCTTGTACATCTATGTACATATATGTATAATATATCTTTCTTAAAGCCCAAATTTGAAGGTTAACATCAATTCATAGTAACTATCACAGACTAAAAGTTATTAGCAGGTATGGATTGTGAATTAGTCCATTAAGCACACATTAGTGGCATGCCAAATAACTGAATGAACTATGTGTGCAGCTTATTTTGTCTTTTTTCATGCTGCAATTACCTATGTTACCATTTTCAATATAACAGTAATGAAGTGGCCAGAAAACCTATTAGACAGTTACATCATGTATGCCTGTAATATTGTAACAAGTGAGCACTCACTTTCAATGACTAAAATCCAAAGCAGCTTGGCAGGGAATTAAAGTCATTTAGCTCAATGAGTATCCAGCACACTGATATTTACTGACACTGTAAGACTGTGGTGGTTACATTCTATCATATGTTGTTTACTTGCCCTACTAAAAGCTAGCTAGTGGAGGCCTACTTTCTACCAAATGTCAATGGACCCAGTTTTTTTTTTCTTTTTTTTTTTTTGAGGCAGTCTTGCTCTGTCACCCAGGCTAGAGGGCAGTGGCACAATCTCAGCTCACTGCAACTCCGCCTCCTGGGTTCAAGCAACTCTCCTGCCTCAGCCTCCACAATAGTTGGGATTATAGGCACCCGCCACCACGCCCAGCTAATTTTTCTATTTTTTAGTAGAGACGGGGTTTCACCATCTTCACCAGGCTGGTTTTGAACTCCTGACCTCATGATCCACCCACCTTGGCCTCCCAAAGGGCTGGGATTACAGGCGTGAGCCACCGTGCCCGGCCAGTGGACCCAGTTTTATATCTAATGGACTGAGGGACAAATGAGAAAAGAAACTATACAAATTGGGCTCATTTTTCTCAACTTCGCTTGTGTTATGTTTGGAAGTTCATCTCCAAACCAGTGCTTGCAAGAGTAGGGCTGGTGAACAGAACAGGGAAGCTCAACAGAAAGACCTCCTCCGAAGCCTTACTGTCCAGTTTATTTTTTTTAGACAAGTCTCACTGTTGCCCAAGCTGCAGTGCAGTGGTACAACCTTGAACTCCTGGAGTCAGAGGATCCTCACGCCTCAGCCTCCTGAGTAGCTAAGACCAGAGGAATGCATCACCATGCCTGGCTAATTTTTTAAAACTGTTTTGTAGAGATAGGGGTCTCACTATGTTGCCCAGGCTGGTCTTGAACTCCTGGCCTCAAGCAATCTTCCTGCCTTGGCCCAAAGTGCAGGATTATAGGCGTGAGTCACCAAGCCTGGCCATGCCCAGCTTCTTATCATTCGCGTCACATCTTTTCTATGTAAAAGGTACATTAGCTTACATTTAATTATCTGGTATTCCTGAATTGTAGTAAGCCCTGGACACTCGATGCATATACATGCATACGTCTGTGTACATGTACAAACACTGTACAGTCCAAATGACAGTCTGCTATTCTGTATGTTCACAGCAAATGTACATCCTGCATTTCTAAAATATATCTGATATTATATAATATTGGTAATCTGTGCAGATGTTTGGTAAATGACTTAGTTCCAGATTATATACAAATACATTCTCAAAGTAGGTGATCTGAATTTTCTAATGTCAAAAACAGGAAAATAGGGTCAGTGTACCTTCTCAGCACACTGCATATATCTCACTGTCCCACCTACCTCGTCACTTAAGTAGTTTCCCTGGTGCCTACCTGATTTTATTTTCATCTGCTCAGATCTCTTCCACACTCAAAGAGATCTTTTTCAAGTGACTCAACTTCAAGCACAGACTCCCTCTGCTCATCCTGCTCTTCTCACAGGAATCTTTCCTTTTCTCACCATCCAAGCCTGCTCACCAGGATAATGAAATAAGATAATAAGACTCTGATCATTAAGATGGACCATATGTGGTCAAAAAGAGAAGCCCCAAAACAATAGTTAAAACTGATACCGAACTACCACTTTTTGGGACAATATATAATGCCTAGATTATTTTGTATCTGCATTTTATGTTATCAAAATCCAAGAATTATTTTATTTCAAAGATGTGTAGCCCAATATAGTCAAAAGAATATCCTAGCATAGTAAATCTTGGTGTCCAGACATACATTAAAAGGAAAATCATGGAAAGGCTTTTTAAAAAGTTACAAAAGGCATACAGATGTGAAGTTACTCAGTGACTATTGCAAATCATCAAAAACGGCAGATGATTAATAAAATTTATTTTTATGTGCCTATTCCTGTTCCTGTTTTACATAATAATGTCATATCAAGTTGGATGGAGAGAGAATCAACTCAGGAGGATAGCCAGTAAGAGTTACAGGCCATTTTTGCAGAAAAGGAATTAACTTGAATTTAATAACTTAAGATATTTCAAGAGATAATTTCCTATTCATCTTAAGTGCATTCCATTTTTGCTTTTTTTCTTGCTGCATTACTCTGAGAATAATTTAAATAGGTAACTTTTCTGGAAAAAGCAGCATTAAACTTGTTGAAATTCTGGCTTAGGAAAAAAAAAAAAAAAGGAAGGTCTGCTATTACATCTGTTACTCTATCAGTTTTAATTTTGGGCTCCCACAGCCCAAGGAGGTGATGAAGGGATGGGGTGGGAAAAGCTAAGTGGCAAGTGTAGGAAAAACAGCAAGGTTATGCCAGCACAGCAACAATGGACTAAAATGTCAAGACACACCATAGCACTAAGTCCCTCACTCAGAAATAGAGCATGCTGACTCAGAAAATACCTTTAGGACTCTTGAGTTTGGATCCACTCAAGTGAAATTCCTTAATTTTTAACTCGAGGGCCAAACAGCCGTCCACTTAAACACGTAAAGCCTCACTGAAGCCTAGCTAATCTCTCTTTGGGGGTCCACACCTAGTTGAGAGGTTCATTAGCACAGAGGGAGCAAAGATCTTGAAAAACTATGACTGAGGAAGAAGAGGAGAAGCATAGCAGAGAATATGAGAAGGAAGATGGGAGGGATGCCAAGTCTTAGGAAGAAAATGTGTGAGAAGAGAGGTGTGGCAGGAAAGTGTCCTGTTGCAAGTGGGTGGAACAGAATGGGAGGGGGCAGTGAGCAGGGAGGGAATCGATCTAGCATGAGGCAGGTGAGAAAAAATGACCACCAGCTGGGAAACCAGAAAATCTGAATGGGAAACCAGAAAATCTGAGTCCAGAGCCCATCTGCCAAGTTGGACTTAAGGAAAACCCCTTGGCCTCTGTGGGCTTCCGTTTCCTTATCTGTAAGCGCTGACAATACCCGGCCTCCCAATCCCAGCGAAACTCAATTAAGATAACGGACGTGGAAGTCAAGAGGCCAGCGCCCAGAGCTCAGGGGGCGCCCACTGAACGGTGGTTGACTCGGAATCTCAGAGCCTCGGCTTCCTCTTCCGGCAAGTAGGGGGGGCCAGCCAGCGGCTCTGCCCTGGACAGGGCGGCGCGTCGGGTAAACCGCAAAGCGCGCTGACCCTGAGAACGCGCCGAGCAGTCTCTCCGTGAGGGGGAGAGGGCCTGGTGAGCCGTCGCTCAAGCCTCGCCGACGCAGGGGAAGGAGAGGGGGGCGGATACTGCACCTTCCCCCCCGGCCCCGCCCGGACCGTCCCGACGTGCGCTATGGAGCGGGCCTGCGCCGCTTCATGCTGCGGCGCCTCCACTCCAGTCCTGGTTGCAGTGGCTTCCTCAGCGGCGGCGCCGGTGACAACACAGGCGGCGAACGCGGCACTCAGAAGCAGCTGCGGCAGCAGCAGCGGCCTTGCCCTTAGAGACTTTAGCACTTCCGGTTCTTCGCCATCCGCTCTCCGACTGGCGAAGGCGCAGCCGGGCCAAGAAGGGCGCCGCTGTCTGCTGGGTGGGGTCCAACACCACAGCGCAGTCTAGTGGCTGGAGGAGCCAAGGAGGCGCGGGGTGGGGCCGAGCAGGGGATAGAGATGAAATCCAGAAAGGAACAGCGACTTGCTGAAAGTCACAGGGCAGATTGTGGCGCATCTGTAGTCAATAAATATATATTGAGTGCATGCTCAAAATAGACAACATTCCTGTCCATGTGCCAGGCAGAGAGAGCCTTAGACGCTGGGAGCAAACCGGGGTAAATCCCTGCCCTTTCAACGAGATGATATTAAGAGGAAAGGGACTAGGGCCTTGGAGATCTAAGCGCCTCATTGTTGTGGTGGAAAGAAATCTGAACCTGTAGTCCGATACTTGGCTCTAATATTAGCTAGTGATCTTTTAGCAGGTCACTCAATCTAGTTGAGCCATAATTTCTTTTTTTTTTTTTTTTTTTTTTTTTTTTGAGACGGAGTCTCGCTCTGTCGCCCAGGCTGGAGTGCAGTGGCCGGATCTCAGCTCACTGCAAGCTCCGCTTCCCGGGTTCACGCCATTCTCCTGCCTCAGCCTCCCGAGTAGCTGGGACTACAGGCGCCCGCCACCTCGCCCGGCTAGTTTTTTGTATTTTTTATTAGAGATGGGGTTTCACCGTGTTAGCCAGGATGGTCTTGATCTCCTGACCTCGTGATCCACCCATCTCGGCCTCCCAAAGGAATATAATACATTTCACTTAATTGCAATTAAAGAAAACCGGCTGGGCGTGGAGGCTCACTCCTGTAATCCCACACTTTGGGAGGCCGAGGCAGGCGGATCACTTGAGGTCAGGAGTTCGAGACCAGCCTGGCCAACATGGGGGAACCACATCTCTGCAAAAAATTCAAAACTTAGTTTGGCATGGTGGCGGGCGCCTGCAATCTCAGCTACTACACAGGAGGCTGGGGAAAGGAGAATCGCTTGAACCCAGGAGGCGGAAGTTGCCGTGAGCTGAGATCACGCCACTGCACTCCAGCCTGGGTGACAGAGTGAGACTTTGTCTCAAAAAAAAAAAAAAAAGTATGCACTTTAACACATAAAATGAAGAAACCCCAGTTTCCTAAGGGAAAGAAATGAATGACTTGTTATAATCAGAACCAGAGGCAGGTCCTTTGACCTGCAATTTCTTTCCTGGTCTACACTGTATATTGGCTGAGAAAAAGGGAACTCAGAAAGATATCCAGGAAAGTAGCAGGTGTACAACAAAACAGTGCAAAAGTGGGGTCTCCCCTATTTTCTATTATTACAAAGAACCATGTGTCAGAGTCATATGTCATTAGGATTTATTATAATAGCACTAATAAAAAATCCATTTGGGCACTATGCTCCACTCCACAGTGTATAATTATTCACTCTAAGGTTAAATGAGCCTTCCCTCAGGTTTTTTAAAGTTGAGCTCCCTTTAAAAAAAAAAAAGAAAGGCAAAGTCATTTTCCCTGGGTCTCTTCTATTAATTTTATCCAAATGACCTGACAGCAGATTTTAAAAGCTTTAAATGCACACGCACACACAAAATACAGAGAAATATCTTGCACTTCATTTCATTAATTCAACAAGCGTTTGCTGAATCTCTGCCTTGTACCTGTCACTATTTTAAGCAGTGGGGCCACAATAGTGAACAAAGTAGATAAAGCCCTGTTTGCATGCAGTTGATAGCCTAACAAGAAGAGATAGAGCCCCCTCCCCCGAAAAGCAAACAATTAAAAATATATAATTTCATGCATTTAAAAAAAGAGCCATGGACAGATAAAATACTTGCTTATAGCACATGGATAATTATAGATTTGACTAGAATGGAATTCAGATTTATATTTATTTATTTATTTATTTATTTATTTATTTATTTATTTATTTATTTTTGAGACAGTCTTGCTCTGTCACCCAGGCTGAAGTGCAGTGGCGCCATCTCGGCTCGCTGCAAGCTCCGCCTCCCAGGTTCATGCCATTCTCTTGCCTCAGCCTCCCCAGTAGCTGGGACTGCAGGCACCCACCAACATGCCTGGCTAATGTTTTGTATTTTTTTTTAGTAGAGATGGAGTTTCACTGTGTTAGCCAGGATGGTCTCGATCTCCTCACCTCGTGATCCGCCCACCTCGGCCTCCCAAAGTGCTGGGATTACAGGCGTGAGCAACCACGCCTGGCCAGATTTCTTGATTTTTATTCTTATTTTCAAACCCCAAGAAAGCTGTAGAGGAACATCTTCACCATGGAACGCTGGCCACCTTGCGTGTACCATAGGCATAGGCTTGAATCCAAGGATCTCTGAGTCTTAGCAGAATGCTGTGTGATGTTCCGAGAATAGGAGAGAATAGGAGGCTGATAGGGACCTGGAGGCAACCTCCTCAGGGAGGCAGTCAGGAGACAGCTTCTCCTCTCCTCACAGTTTCTGATAAGGTGTGGGGCTCTCTCTCCACTCCCTCAGAATAGCACTGCTGAATACAAAATCATTTGTCTGCAGTCTAGAGTTGGCTCCTGTTCAACAGGACAGCTCGCAATTCACGTTGCAGTCATTTGGCCCCTTTTGTTTCAGTACAGTTGTCCCTTGCTATCTTTAGTCTCGCTCTGTCGCCCAGGCTAGAGGGCAGTGGCACAATCTCAGCTCACTGCAACCTCCGCCTCCCAGATTCCAGCAATTCTCTTGCCTCACCCTCCCCCAATAGTTGGGATTATAGGCACCCGCCACCACGCCC